TTTTACCCAACAAAAATTACGAGCAAAATACTACAAGAAAAGCCCTTTAGACATTAGCTCTTTTATTCACACACACACAAACCATTGTTTTAATTTAAATTTCTTAAGTAGTGAAGTACGACAATTTATAGCTTGATTTCTGAATATAACTAAAATATATCAACTCTTAAAAAAATTACTCGTTTATACTTCACTTAACGATAAACTGACATGAACGAAATATTTAATCTATTAATCTTACGCCTTACATCATCTTCAAAAAGAGCTTATATTTTTACATTGCTGTCCAAACATACCTAAGAATCACATCAAGTAAATTGTCTTTCAAATAAAAAATAGGCATTGAAATCGGTCGATCCGTTTCAAAGGTTAATGCCACAAACAGACTTTATTTATTTTCAATATTTCAATACTCTCTTATCTGTAGTACTTGACGACCAAACTCATATGTTGTTAATCCACATAATAAATATATTTGCATGAAAAAAAAAACTGTAACGAGGTTATCTACTTTTATATAATTAAATACTTCCCACAAGCTTGCACCGCGACATTATACACGAAGCTTTACTCTTTCTGCATTCAATAATCTACATTGAAACTATTAGATTGCTAGTTAGATTGCTAGCTAGCTACGTATGTATGTAGTGTGAGAAAGCAAAACTAAGGGTAAGCTTATAGATGTTTATTGCAGAAACTTGATTTTCGATGCAAGTTTTGCACACTTTTACGTTTTTATTATGTAGGGGAGAGTTGGTTATAACGTACTAGCATTTAAATCGTACCACTTCTAAATTTCCCATTTAATGAGTCTTTTTATCTACACTGACAACGCCAAATCGTGGCCCTGCACCATCCCTTTTCACCCACTAGTTTAAATCGACGTGAGTTAACAACTGTGCTCGTAATAAAAGAAAAACATTTTTTGTAGGAATTAATATAAATATTGTCGTACATTCGTAAGGATATAACTCGTAATCAAAGTAAGCTATATAGTTATTCAGTTTTTTTTTATTATTCCACAATTGCATACTAGATTACTGGGGGTTTTGTTGCGTGTCTAAGTTTTGAGTTTATGCCGGATATTTGCTTTTGTTTTAGAAATGCCTTCGTTGGTTTAATCGTACCACTTGCAGTTGGTTAAATTGTACTGGTATGATTTACCCGACTACCAACCGCAAGTACGTATAGTAAGTACTACCCAAGGCTAAAAACAAAAGTTATAAGAGGAAACGATCTCATTCCATCACCAGTAGCGATGATTCAGGAGAGACACTTGTTGTAGAACTAGATGATGATGATGACAGCGATGATTATCTTAAAAATATACGTGGAAAGTGCAATTGTTCTTACTATGATAAGAAGGGTCCAAAAGTTGATTGGATTCAATGCGATCGATGTAAACGGTGGCTACATGAGACATGTACCTACTTCGAATCCAGACATTGTCATGATTGTTTCCATTAAGAAATATGCACAATAATTATATTACAAATAACATTCTTGTTAACTGTTACTTTATTATTATAGTTTACTGTTTTTTTTTTCTCATTGTTATTAGTTATGTTGATTGATCTCATTATCATCGTATAATCATGTTATTTTACTGAGAAAGCTTATAGTTCCTTTATATAACCTAAGAGTTAAAAATTATGTTTCTGTTACCTAAAAGATATAAATAATGTTGTTATATTACTTACCTAACAGGTAAAAATAAATAATTTGATTGAGAATTTTAATGTCTTTCATTCAGTGGTACGACTTAAACACCGATGGTACGATTTAAAGACTTAGTGGTACGATTAAAACGACTAGTCGGCTAAATCGTACCGATGGCAAGCCTCTACAAAAAAGCATTTTTAACAATGTTAGAATAATCGCAAGGATCTGTTCTCTTCTTCTTAGGAAGCTAAAATATGAAACTTTATTTTACATATGTATTAATTATTATAAAACGTGTTATAGTCGAAATATTTGAGTTAAAGTGAAAAGTGGTACGATATATCCGACTCTCCCCTAATTCATATAATATTTTAAAAATAATCAATACTAATTGCTTTTCGTCTTTATTACAAGTACAAATAGGTAAAGAAAATCATAGTGATTTAAGGAGACATTTTAAGAATAATCTAGAAAAAGAGGATGAAAAACCGTCGCAGTTATAAAACATTTTATTTTTACTTATTTTTTAATTTAAAAGAAGTTCGTAAAGTTAAAATAGAATGTTGTTTTTTATTTGTTAATACAAAATATTCAACATTGTTTCATTTCTGAATTTCACGAGGAACGTCGTATAAAATAATGCAACTTATACATATATACAGCTCCTTGTAATTTTCATATTCGTGAACGCTTTGAGAGAATTCTTGTGCTGCGACCTGTAAATATTTGTAATTTGTGCTCCTAACTTATAAACAATTTTTTCTTATAAAATACTTGCCTTTCAAACTTGATTTTAATTTGGTTAGTTAAATATAATTACTGTTTTCTACTCTTAGTTGTATTTTTTATAAATTAATGAAATTAAAGAATGATACTTATATATGAAAAAGGTTTGATAACTTTATATTAAAAAATGTTATTCATATGTTTATAATAGAAATGTTTAATATGTATGTTGACCTTAAACACACTCGATACAATTCGAAATTTTTTCGAGTTATTTCTTCGTTCCTTTAATAAACTTTGGTAATTAGAACACCACACAAAAAACACACTCCCAAAAACGAAAATATCTACTACGCACAATTATTTAAAAAAATACATACGTCATATATAAGATAAAAACGTTAAATATCTACATTTTAATATTTATTTATTTAATACATATATACTAATCATTATGGTTATCAGAATAAAATGCATTTTCATAAAGTACCATAAAGAAATTAAGACGTTTCGTTTTCGATATAAATATATTTTGCTCTTCCCTGATATGAAATATCTTACGGAGATTATTTATCTAACAATAATATCTTGAAGAATTATTTAAGAATTATCTATATTTCTTATATGAACAAAATTGATTCTGTGTTGTGGGTTTTACATTGACATTACGAATAAACGTCACTAAGTATATATATTTAAAGCTTAAAATCGCAAAACCGTGATATTTCATAGAAGTAATTGAGTAAATATTTATTTATATTATAATTTTCAATGTAAATATGTATATTATATTTAAGCATGAACATACTGTTTTCTTTTTTTATATTGAATTAATTGAATTCATTTTAATTTTATGCCGAACAAGACTAAAAATAAATACGTTAAAAATGTATTTAAGTTATAAAATGATTCCGCAGATTTTGTTAAAACGTTAAATATTTTTATTCATGAAAAATATGTTTATTTTAAATAATTAATACCTTAATTATATCAATTTAATAATGCGGATATATTTTTGCAACAAATGATTAAAAACGAAAAATGTTAAACAGAATATTTATGAAAAATAATTTCACATACAAAAATAGATATTTTAAAGTAATCTAAAGATCTATTAATTTGTATCAAATTGACTTTAGTTCTATCATTATTGATATTCACTACTGAAATACAATTTCTCTTTAATTAAGTCAGGCACTAGTTATCTGAATATGTATAGACACAACTGGCCTTAAGAACAGTTTAGTATTTGTCTATAATAAAGTATATATATCAATATTAAAATAATTTAATATTTGATAGATTCAAGAATCAATTATTAATACAACAGTATAACATTTAAAGAGTATTTTCTATTTCGAAAAGTAGAAAATATATTTCAAAGGTAGAGTTTAATTTCACGGTACAGTGAAAGCTTCTGTAAAGTTATAACATCAAATAGTTCCTTACAAATAGAAAATTTCAAAAAACATATATAGTTAAGAATTTTTATACAGGCAATATTGTTATTATAACATTTTATTACAAATTTGCCATTCATACAGTTATAATTACAATATATTTTCGACTTGTTTTTGACTCGAGAAATAAATTCAATAATCGTTTAATGTATCTATAGCCATAAATTAAGCGTCAAATGCATAACACGAAGTTGCAAATTTTGTTGTATAAATAGGATTTTTATATAATTCACTAAGATAAATGTTTAGTTGATATGCCTTACAAGTTATAGAAAAAACACGTTACATTACACATTTTGTACGTTGAAAACTCTTTGTGATATTTTTCTTTACCTACGAATAATTAATTCTCATGAAAACAATAACGACATCTATCGGTCGCCCGATGAAATTCTTTCGGATTTATATAAAAGAGATATGGTAGTAAAAAACAATAAATTTAAAAAGTAAAATAAATTTTAATTACAGATAACCTTTGTCAATTAATAAAATAGAAATATGTCAACATGATCACATTAATTTAATTATAAATCTCAGCAGTATAAAAGTTACTTAGTTTCTAATCGCGACCTTGTTCAATCACAAATCCTGCTGTCCATAGTTTAATACACACGTATGACATTGGCGAAATCTATGTTTTAGGAAACGCCGATAACTAAAAGAAAGAGAAAGAAATTTATTTTAAAAAAACCAATGCTAACAAAAAATATAATTCTTAATATACATGTATTTACAACTCATGGGTTTCACTAATCACTACTTACATAAAATATAATTAAAAAGAGTTCAATTAAGGGTACGAAGGTACATATTTATGAAAAATATAATCGTATCCGACTTTTCTAATTTTTTCTGCAGATATATATTAATTTATTTCTACTACGAAACACCAAAAACTACAAATTAAGGGAACAAATATCTATGATAAAAATATATCTACATAAAACATTATTTAGTAATTTTGTTTTCGATTATGAAAACAAAAGAACAGGAAATCATCATATAAACATGTCATATCATTTACAGGAAAGGTTTTGTAATAATTATTTTCTTTATAATTAATTTTGGCCGAGTTACCGAGTCATTTACCAAAAAGATCTCTAATCAAATACTTAACTAAATCACTGTTACTAACCCTGTAAATCTTACTGTCTATTCTGTAACTTCTTTATCCGAAGTTTTCCAAATATCCCACGTATAATTGTGAAATTTGGGCATAGCTTTTAGGTTTGTTTCATGAGGGATCGTACGTGGTATTGTTCTAGCTATCTCTCTTTCTAATTTCGTATGCAGTTCCTTGGCAACATCACTGTGAGTTTCCATTAAATCCACTATTTCGCAAGGATCTTCTTTGATGTTAAATAAGCACCATTTATCTAAAAGAAGAGACAGCAAATAATCCCAGATTACAGTTCTTAGTACAATATTGACAAAGTATTTAAAAAAATATATTGTTTTTATTACTCACCTTTTGAAGGATAACATATTTCTTGATTGTGTTTCAAATCATTACATTTAATTTTGATTTCATGTCTAAGTGCTCTCTCGTTAAAAGCAAAATTAATCCCATTATCCGAAAGTACGGAATAAATTTTACTTTTCTTGATAGCGTCTTCATATGAGGGTGGTTTACCAATAATGCCTCTAAATTGTTTGCCCTGATGATTACTGTGACTAGTTAATACTGAACCAACTACTAGTTTAAAATCATTATGAATTATGGAATAAAATCCAGTATAATCATCAATTTCCACAATCATGTCTCTTTTCGATTTGGTATTGGTTAATATGTTATCCCATAAATCTAAACCATCAATTTCCTTTGCCGATTCTGTTCCCACGGCCTTTAATAGTGTTGGCAACCAATCAGAGACATGCATGTATCCTTTCCACAAATGTTTACTTCGTGTTAAATTTTTACTCCATATAAGCCCGTTTACCCTAATACCCCCTTCAAATGGACTCATTTTAAGTCCCCTCAGGGGATAATTGGAGGCGTAATTAGCGTTCATCTGTGTTGTTATACCACCATTATCGGATACGAATACTATTATAGTGTTATCTAACATGCCCTTCTCGGAAAGGGTTTTAACGATGTCTCCAATACTGTCATCAAGTTTTTTAACCATGGCTGGAATAAAAACAATTATAAAATTCACAAATGTGCGGTAACGCAATGTTTACATAATTTTTTACTACTGATGTAATTACATAGCAGTAAGTCATTGATTACAACAATATTAAGAAGAAATTTACAAAGAACTATTGACAAATTCTTCATTCATGTTTCTTGGAACCTAGTAATGTTTTTCACGACATATTAAACTTTTTTTAAATACCAGCATAATATCTTCTTTGTGGCAATTCAATATGCCTCATCGCTCGAACCTCGTCCGACGGTGCCTGCATGTAAGCACCTTCGTTTGCGGAGTGAGGAGCGTTATGAGCAACCATAAGGAATAATGGCCTTGAGACGTCATGTGCCTTAATAACTGAAAGTGAAAATTAGCATAAGGGTGTCTTTATGCTTTTTATTTAAGTATTTTTTAATTAAATTTATTAATGGTTTTATATTATTCTAAATATTTTTTTAAAATTTTAGTTCCCTAGTTTATTTTTAACCACAAAAAAAAATAATATTTAGAACTTAACACTTTTAATTTACTTAATTAAAAAGTACCGATAATAATGAAAATACACAAACTCTTTTCACTAGTAACATTAAAAGTTCCATCCTTATTTCAATTCAAATGACATGTAATAGATAAAAAATTCGATAAAACAGTTAAATATCCGTTTTGGAAATAAAATAAGTGATTTTTATCGCATCTGAATTTATATTTTTCCTGCTCAGAATATAAAACTAACTTTGAACGATTTAATATTCAGCTTCTGAATTTCCTTTCGATATTATGGTTAGTATCATACTTTATCATTTTAAAGTACTATATACATTTATATTAGATAATCGTTACCCTACAAATATGAAATAAATTTGTGAAAATGGGTATATTTTAGAGTAACCCATCAAAAATTTATTCTGATTTATAAATTACTTGATTTCGCTTCTTCATTGTAAACATCCGTTATGTATCCTTCAACTCCCCAAGCAGCCGTCATATTTCGGAAAAGGTCAAATCCAGAAACGTCTCCTACATCCCACTGTGAAATTCAAACAATACTAGCATAAACAACTGATAGGAATCATAAACAATAAAAGAAATTGTATTATATTTAAAGCAAAATAAGTTACATTTTCCAATAACGTGTATTCGTAGTAATCTATATAGCCACCCCTGTGACCGAAATGCGTGTCAAAACCTCGGAATGTGGGCAAATGTTCGGCTCGTGCTTGTCCAACGTGCCATTTTCCAACCAAATGTGTGGCATAACCGAGATCCTTTAAATATTGGGGTAGAATTTTCTCTCCAAGAGGTAGAGCTCTATCTTCCGCGTTTGTCAACGGGTAGCCCTGCATACCTTCAATATGACACTAATTAGTTATTTGAGAAACCATTCATAAAAATCGATAGATAAAACAAAGTAAATCAATCCTTTGATTGAAATAAAATTGAAAATATGTGAGAATATTTAATTTATTTACTCGGAAAAAGAGTGCAAAAAACGTATAACTGTGTTACCTATGACATGTGCGAATTTCCCAGTGAGGAGAGAGGCGCGCGATGGCGTGCATATGCAATGACTGTAATATCTCTCTAAAGCGACGCCGGTATACGCGAGCAGGTCTATATTCGGTGTCAAAATTTGATCCGACCCGTGAAAGCTCACGTCGTCCCAACCCTGCAATATTTATATTGGAGTACAACCTTTGCAATATTTTTGATGGGAATGTCGTTAGTGTATCGTATATGTTAAAGTGCAATGCTAATAGTGAGCAATAAATACTGTAAAGGTTAGTGGCAATTTGGAGCGCTCATCAAATAAGATGTAGGATTTATTTCATGATACATTAATATTATATTGATTATATAAAAAAATATGAAGTCCTTCATAAATGTAGGTCAAATTTTAACAAGTCATGTACCGGAAACCAGCTCCATGTATATTTTTTGTTTACCAGCTTTTGATATGAGTCATTCACAAAAAATCTAATTATCTAGAAACGTAATAAATTTTATATGGCACTATCAAAGCTTGGGCCATCTATTAGAAACCAATTTAATCATAAGTAAAGAAATAAAGGTCTTATTTTATCAAGAAACCTGTTTTAAAAAATAGTTTTCGAAATATACATAATAACTTGAAACGTGTGTTTAAATTATATGATTAATATACATAACTTTCTAAATAAAGATAATAATTTTTACCCTCGCTTTTGAGTCTATAATAAAATAATGGTTTCATAAACATTACCATGTCGTCTGCTATAAAAAAGACGATGTTCGGTCGAGTTGCATCTCCTTGAATAATATTCACTATTAAGAAACACAAAAACAATTTGCAGACACTTAACATTTTTCTAACAAAAAAGATCCCTTGTAAACTATTACAGTCCTACGAGTCACTGTAAATAATAAATCACTAGAACATATTTCTTTGATATATAAGTTAATATTGTCTATAATACTTTGCCCTTTGTAAGTCACAAATAGCTATCGATTGCGTTAGACTAATAGAAATCTTTAACATTTGATGGCGATCTCGATTTCAATGAACATTATATTGAAACATAAATATTAACTATTATAAAAAATACTTTATTTAACACACAATAAATTTGAAAATTTTAAACACTTTTTCATTACGTATATAAATAAACTGGTAAAAAAGACACGTATGCTCAAGACAGCATAACGACAAACTGAGATTAGTTTACAGTTACGCAACGCCAATATCATCTTTATCACACAAACTCGATTTTATTTCTAAATTGAATGACATTTATGATTGTGACGTGATAGCGGCGGATTTTAAAACATAACGTAAACTAAATCATTTTCATATTAACTGACTTAAAATTCAAATTGATAATTTTTATATGAGTTAATTTTAAATTTCTAGCATCAGTTATACTGGAACCCGCTATATAATCTAATGTTTGTTTCCGTATATTACTTAATACCGAAAGCTGACCATTTACTTTACCTAGAATTCTCGCCAATCAGCTGCCTAGTCTTTCATTGAGATCGTTTCTCCTTCCATTCCAAATTTATAGTTAATCATGCAAAAGTAGCAACAAGATAGTTTTCGCATTTTTAATAATCGTGTGAATAAAACTAACTTTAACTATTTCAAATGGCCATAATTGTTTTTCACTCATTGCATTGTCACAAAATAATTTCAATAAAACACAAGTCAGTAAAATTCTACTTTATAAAAACAAATAACAATTATAATTAGCAACAAAAACATTAAAAATTAAATTACACTTTGTACAAAAATAATAAAAACATATTAATCTAAAAAACACTCCTTAATATGCAGAGGAAATTTCTAAACCCTTTGACATCTTGACAGTTAACTGGTGTTGCTACGGTCTTTCCATTTGAAGAACCATCATTATTGGGTACAATATAATAATTTTCACTAAAATTTGAACTTATTTCATTTTTGGATACATTAGTATCATTTAGGGTCATGACTGGCGAACTGTCATTAAGCCACGGTAACCATCTGTAACCGAAATTTACTGGATCGGCTCGAGGGTCTATCATTATTGGACCTCTTCTTAATTGCATTGACCACAAGGTCCTCAATCTACTCCACAATAACGCTGTTATCTTAGTTCCTCTACTCCATAAGTCGTGACTCTCCGATGGATCTCGTTTAACATTGTATAAACATCCACGATCTGCAAGAAAAGAATTGGACTTTCAGTACATATACATAAGGAAGGAAGATAAATCTTACTTAAAAAATTCATAAAACTTACCAGGCCTAGGCTCACATGGAGTCAAATCTCGTACTGGGTCTATTTGTTTGATGATACTTGCTTCTCGCATCGCCAACACTTCATCGTAGTCCAATTTCATATTCAATGATTCAAAAACCTTAGCTACCTGTGACGATTTAAGAGTAGCAAAATAATCAGGTGGGGACGATCTATAGGTCATGAGGTCAGCCCCATAGTATCCATTGCTCAAACCGGTCACATTTCCAACAACGATCTTATAATCACCAGCTCTGAATGCAGCGTAAACATTGGCATCACTGTCTTCAATAGCAATCAATACTTCTTTTCTCTTAGGTTTTGCATCTTGTGATATAGAATCCCACTGATTAACACCGTCAATCTGGACATTCACTTCACCACCAACAGCCCCCACGAGAGTGGGAAGCCAGTCAGTAACGTGCATAAGTCCATCCCAAACTTTCGGTCTTAATGAGGGATGCCATATAAACGCTGGGACTCTAACGCCTCCTTCCCAAGGAGTTTGTTTCTTCCCTCGAAAAGGTAAATTCACTCCCCAATTATTAAACATACCTACAGTCGGCGCTCCGTTATCAGAAGCGAATATAATAATAGTGCTTTGCAACATTCCTTTATCTGCTAAAGCCTTCACAACACGTCCAACACTAAGGTCCAAATGAGTAACCATTTCTGAAAATAAATAGAGTAGATGAAAATAAATCTAAAAAAAAATATCAACTTATTGCAATAAATTTTTGGGGACTTAAATAGTGTGATAAAATTTTTCTTTTTTTATGCTAAACTCGGCAACCATGCAGACGGCCTACTTGATAGAGGTATTACCATCGCCCATAGACATCCGTAACATACGAGCTGTTACGAATATGTCGCTACCCTTGATTAGGGAAGAGATGCAAGAAAAAGAAAAAACATAAATATTAAATACCTGCGTAGAGTCTTCTATTAGAATGAGCAATATGTTGATTCCTCTTTGAAAGTGGTACATTTGGAGGCTGAAGCAGCCCTCCATCATTGCCTGCATGTGGTACGTTATGCGCCAAGTGAAGGAACATTGGACTTGAGTCATTGTGATTTTGTATGACTGAAATGAAAGTATAACTTAATATTAAAAACAAAATATATGAAAAATTTTTTTAGAGATATATAAAATTAAACTTAGTATTAATTGTAACAAGATGCTTAACTAAATTTATAAACTTTGATTCAAATATTTAAGATTTTTTTCAAGTAACGATAATTGTTAAAATAAAAATCTATGACTTGTAAAATATGAAGAAAGCGAATAGAAATAATGTGATATTATAATACATTTGAACTGTTATGTCAAATTTTAAAAATGCCAATAACTCCGGTTTTTTTTTTAATTAAAATATCCACAATACAAGTAAATATAAATTAATTATTTTTATAGTGGTCTATTAAATAAACCTGGTGTATCCGTCTACATACGACAATAACTTCCGATCAAATTTGATTATTTTTCCCGTTTCCTTAATGACAATATTCGTATGGAAGAAATATAAAAGATAATTAGATCTTTCCACTAAAATCTAGGTTTATAGATAAATCTAAGTTAAAACTGAGTGAATGTGATCGAATGACGTTCAATGACAACTTCCAACAGTCATACATAATATGATTTTGTCCATGAAATAGAATGAATAATGTAAAAAGGACTGTAATGTGTCCCTTGATCTCATGTAGTTTCAACAGAAATACGTTATAACAGTTTTATTTGTAATAATACACTTACAAATACAAACGGTATATGTATTTTGAAACACACCTCTCTCTTTCATGCCGATGGAGTCGCGTGTAAAAGCTAGTATATATGAAATGTTAATGTTTTACTTTAATATAAAAGGGTGACTCGTTTACAAGTTTAACTGTTTCCTTATTACACAAGTTTGTAAAATAGAATGTGTGCTCCTAAAGTTCCGTTTTGGCATTCTACTATAATATATGTAAAAGAATGAATGTTACTTGTAACACATATAAAATAATACAATACGTATATGCTTACAATCTAGATGCCTTCAAGGCAAGAGTGAATATCATTTTACTTGTATAGTGCGATTACTATCGCAGGCTTGATGCCACTTAACAAAAGTTGAGCCATAGTAAAGCACCATCCAGTTTGTGGAACAAAAATATATTTTTTTGCCCGAGATTTTTGTTGTATCAACCATAATCATTTATTGTATATATTATTGTATTTAGTTTTTTACTTTAATACTCACTGTCCATAGCTCTTTCAGTTAGTGCGTCTACAATGTATCTATCCTCGTCATCTTGTGGGATATCGTTAAACATGAGGTCAGCTCCATAGAACTCTTTTCCATTAGGCAACTGAATAAAAATTATCACATGATTCAATAAAAAAATCTAACGTTATTTTACTATAAGTTTAACAATCAGTATTTTTAAATAATCAAAGAAAAACGGTTCCAAGTATGTATTTGGTTGACAAAACAAGTATTTTTGATAGACCTTGAAAAACATATGAATCTTTGTTGAAGTTTAAGGTAGGATTAGCTTAATAAAATTTCATTGAGTCTCTCGCTAACTTAGAAATTTAGTTTGAACACTTTTCTACACCTTAATTATTTTTTTTTATGATATTATTTTTAGAATCAGCTTCATAGTTTGGCTACAAAACTGATTACTATCTATTATTATAATTATACGGTTTTCGATTATCAATAAAAGGTATTTTATACTACTATTTCACACTCAAGATAACGCTTCCAATGAGTTGGATTTCATATTTGAAAATTTTTTAATAACCCCATTAATCCATTCATATATTGTTTAAAAAGGTTTTATATGATAACAATTAATTAGTTAAAAAGTTTATAGTTTATAGTTTTCTTGTCGCATTTTTGAAGGTTTTTTTTATATTTTTAAAATATAATTTATAGCACATAATGATATAGTATTATCATTTTGCTTTAACAAGAAAATTTGAACAATAATTTCCAAATAAGTCTCTGTTAGTACGAACAAAGGAGATGTATCATAAATTACAAATTTAATTTAAGTTATAGTTTGCCATAGTCCTTTCAATATTATCTATTATAAGGAAGTGCAGTAACAAACACATACTTGACTCTTATGAGAAACTCATAATAAATTAATATTACAGTACGTATATAAAATTTAATATCGTGAATCATAAACTATAATCAAAGTGAAAATCGATAAGTACTAAAACAAAAATTTTATATCACAATAAAGAAATTCGGAATGATTTATTGTAATACCTTATAAATAAAGTTAAACTGCCTTCTAGATGAACGAACATTGCGAACATTGAAATCATAAGCTTAGATCGTAGGTATAATTATTTGAAATCATTGAGACATTACCTCTCAACTCCAGTACTATGAAATAGAGGTATACAGAATTACTTATAACCTTTAATATGACATTTTGACTCACCAGTTCAACTTTATTGTACGTATAATAATCCACAAATCCGCCGAGCATTCCATAATGGCTGTCATATCCCCTTCTGGTTGGTAGGAACTGATTTCGTGACATACCCACATGCCACTTACCGACCAAATGTGTTTTGTAACCTCTTTCCTTCAAGTACGAAGGCAGCAGTCGCTCTGATATAGGAATGCCTCGATCTTCTGAATTATATAGCGGCATTCCGTGCATACCTGTTGAAATTCCTCTCTTAATTATTTATAAGTCTTATATATAAAATAGAAAAAGAAATTAAAACACTAAACATATGTATATAAACATTATGATATAGGTTGATTGACGACAAATATAAGCTAAACTCTTAGTATAACTTTACAAAAAGGATTAAACATCGATAGTTACAAGATACTTATACATATATTTATGTATGAATATAATTTATTAATAATAAAAGTCGTTACCATCTGTGTTTAGTTTTACAACATGAATAATAAGCACGCAGTTCATATTAAGAGAATTTCGAATATCTCAAAACAGTTATTGTGTATTTTAATTAATAAATTTTGATACTGACACTAATGTTTTCGCATTTACTACGCAATTTTCTATTTTTGACTATAAACAACATGCTCCCGACGTTTCGGTTACTTTACAGCATCCGTGATCACGGGTAGACGAGCGACTGTCAGTCGGTCTTGCTATTTTATCACATACCACCATCAATTTTGATACTATCAAGTAATATATCTTTTTTCGTTATTTTTACGTGTGCTGAAAAGTAGCCGAAACGTCGGGAGTAGGTAGTTTTACAAAAATAAAGCACTCGTAGTATATCCCAAAAATATTAGTTTCATTTAAATGAATAAAACTAGCGAAAGTCTTTGATCTCATTACAAATATCTTGTTATATGAACTTCGACACTGACCTAGTCGCATAGGGTATTTGCCGGTGAGTAGCGCCGTACGTGCCGGAGTGCATATCGCCTCGCTGTAGTATTGTTGAAGTATCACACTCCTACTGGCCAATACGTCCAAGTTAGGCGTCAATATTTGATTAGATCCATGATACGAAACATCATTCCAACCCTGTCAACAATCCGGACGTTCTATTGACTTGTGTAATTGAAACTATAATTAAATTAGACTGGAAATACAGCGATACAAAATAGTAACAGCTTATTGGATTTAAAGTTTTATTATGAAGTTATTGAAAGATTCGTAGGTAAGTAATTGAACCTGCAGCCGTCGAAATACAGCTTTCAAATTGCTTGTAATATTAGATATTATACAAAAAAACACAATTATACGCATATAAAACTTTTATGACTTTAATTTTAACTAATTTTATTTTCGAAATCAATCAATTTTTTTCGAATTACCACAAGATTTTTATTAAATTTCAATCAAAATTTTTACACAGTTTGTATTACAATTTACATTTACTGTCATTAAAAACGAATTATGTTCATAGAAAGATGATTTTTTTAAATTTCAGTGATTCTCATAATCTATATTATTTTATTGAAAGACATCCAAGAAAAGTCAAAAGAAAAGAAAATGGAAGTACTTCGTATGTATGTTATTTTAATTCAATATTTCTCTTCAACCAATTTTATATATGTTTTTGTACGTTATCATAATATCTCGTTATTAAGAATCTCCAGAAAAAAATATACGAAATAAGCAGACCCTTTTCATTGTCATGAAGGTATTCGAAAGGAAAAAATATTATACTAACAAAATTAATAAAAAAACTGACATCTTTATTATATAACAATAAATAAAGAATATCTATCATGATCTGTTCATTAAATTATTTTCCTATCAACAGAGAAAATGGTAAAAATTATATGACGTATGAGTAATTGCTTAAAAATTGTTACATTCTTTATTATTCATATAATCTAAGTTTATTGGGAACATAATAAGTTTCTTTCTGACATAAAACAGTATTAATTACTTCGAAGGTCTTAAAATGACATAATTTCTATATTTATTACGCATCATTATAAACATACTAACATATACATGATACCTACACATTATGAGTATTTATAAATATTAGTTAGTTAATTAGTTAACAGTAATAAAACTACTACTAAAGGTAAGTCATTGGCGAATGTCATAATGTTCAGATTCTGACAATGTGGGATGTATGTTGCAATATAGATTGAAATTTTCGTCTTAGCAACAAATAAAATGAAGGATTATTTGAATGAATTCACAGTCCAGACCTTCTTAGTAACTAATGCACCTATTTTTGATATTACATGAGGATAATATAGACAATTTATAAGCAAATTACTAGCATGTTTTATAAATTATACCTGAGATAATCGGTATTGTTATCACAGCATAGAATCTTAAAATGATTCATAGTTCAAGGTTGAATCATTTCAAAACGAGATTCGACGTCATTATTATAAAAGTTTCTTACAATAACAGAGTTTACCCAAATGGTAATTTTGCAAAAACGGCTGTTTAATTTAAACAATTCATATTTAAATACTAATATATTTTTGTGAATATATCTTTTATGTTACAAAAACCGTGACCGTGAGACAAATCGTGAAGAATTAAAGGAAAAACAAATAAGTGAGATAATCATTTTTAATTTTTAACTATCTTTTGTATTGACTTCTGTATCAACTCGTTTTATTTAATTTTAATAAATTTTGACCTTTTTTGTTGATGGAAGAACTGCTTTTGCTTATCTTTTCACAGTTTCGTAATTCCAATTACAGGTAACTCATAGAACAACTTGATAAATTAACAACAATGTAACAAACTGAAACAGTAGTTGTTTGTTTTTCAAACAAAGGAAGCTCTGATGTTCAAAAACGTATTTGCACCAAAAGGGTCTTTGAAAGAATTATTTTATTCGACTACATTGTAAAGATCACCTACAAATCTGTATTGTTTGTTTTATATTTGAATTAAATAAGGCTAAAGTCTCACCATATCATCCACCATAATAAATAAAATGTGAGGTGAGGCTTGTGAAGTCACACTGCGTGAAAATACTACGAGTAGCACACATATTTTCCACCTGTGAAAGAGAAATATAATTAATTTCCTATCACCAGCTTAAACTTACAAATAAAAGTATCTTTAAACAGATGCCCTAACGCTATTTTTGAAATTCGATGAGAATCAAAGAGAATGTCGAAGGTATCCCGACTGAACATTGGGAATCCTTTGTAAACACATGCGAATACCGAAATGTATAGACATGATGTGCACGAATTGTTTGGAGTTATTGAGTTTAATCACACATACATATATATATACATATATAAGAAATAAAATGTAAAAAACGCTATATCTACACCAAACTAAAGTAATTAGAAAAACTGAGGCACAACAAGTGACCTCATTTCTTTGGACGAAGTCTTTCAGTTAACACTTTGGGTAAGTAAGACTATATGTAAATATATATGTATATACACTACACGTATATAAAGAACATTATACACTGTAACAGTTTATAATAAAAATCTTTTGCTAAAACCAATCCCATATCTTTTAATATTAATAGTTAAATCCTTTTAAAACAAAAATATCAGAAAAGATTATCACTCTAACTTCAACGACAATTTGTGTTTTTGCATATAGTTGATATGTATTATTTTCCATTTTTTTATAAGAAAAAATATTGTAATATATAAAAATCACAGATCAGCATAACTTATAAATAATATTATGAAATAGTGATTTATTGACGTACGCAACCATAAACAAAATTAAACTTCCCTTATTTTAGATAAAACACAATTATTACAACACAAATTGTTATATGAATCCTTTAAAGAATTGCAAATTATGTGTTACTTTAATTCAATAATAGTTCGTTACTTAACAGCAATTTTTTATCCAGTTTGTTATCTATATTAATTCGTCGTAGTTGAAAAGAATAGCGTTGTGTGACAATATGATTTCAAAACTAGCAAATTAATAAATTAATTAATGTAACTGACACAAGGAAAACGTTACATTAAAGAAAATTATTTAGAATTATAGAAATTAAACAAAGATCTAACATTTGACGTTTGTTAATTGAAATAGACGTCATTTATTTGAGAAGCAGTAACAACAAACAAGTGCAATTAGTAGAAATTGAAGTAAATTTATGTATATTACCCAATAAATATAATTTAATTGTTTTTGTATTTGCAAAAGACATAATATTAATAAATATTGTATTCATATTCAAAATATCTAATATAAAATAATATACTTCACAACAATTTTTTAATTTCTTTACAATCTTTCCACTGAATTATTATTTCGAATGAGATTCTATATTTTGCAATCCAAATCTATTTCACTGAAGACCCAACTTTTACTGAGATCACAATTTGTAAACCTACAATATTTTTTTATTTCTCATAACTCCAATTTGTGTTTGATACAAAATCCCAAAACATAACTCAACTTCAGTAACAAGTCGATTATCATACTTTACGAAATAAACCGAGGTTAAAGTGATGTTTAAAAATGTATGGTAACACATATGTACATCACAATTGTTTTGTATTCACTGAGTTTTAATTACTGAGCTATTTAGATACGCAAACGAGTTGAGAAACATTTTTAGTGTCATTTTCGTTTTTCCTGTCTAGCCACTAACTTTATTTTATGTTTGAATATAAATAAAAAAACTATTACATATTTAGCAAATGAAATACAAAGTCACAAAGATATTTCGTTACCACGGTCGTCTGCCCGTGATCACGGTTGCTGAAAAATAACCGAAACGTCGGGAGTATGTAGTTTTTACAATAATAAAATAAACTTAGTACTTATAATCCGAAAAGTATAAGTTTCATTTAAAAGATATTTCGTTAACCGTAAGGATTATAACGAACTTGTAGATGTCCAATTAGTTATTATTGTACAGACATAAATTCGTTAAATAGATGAAATAGATAAAAAATACAGATTGAACAATAAAACAAGTTTCGTTAATTTTACGATGCAACAGGAAAGATATAAAGATTATACATGAATCATCTCAGAGCTAAGAACAATTGTGTTACGATCAAACCTATTATTAGTTCGTAAATAACAAAACTGAAAAATATATAAATTTAAATTAATATCTCGGCAATAAAAAATTCTTCTTCAATATATTTTATATATTTTTTATGTTATAACTATGGCAAACAAATAAGGTATACAAATTTGCGTAGTCTTAAATCAAAAACACGCAAATTACTTGAAGCTATTGTTCTTAGAGTTGATTATTTTCATTTTTCCAATGATAATCATCAGCTCGGTCATTTGCCAACCTCGTTAGGTAAATTGTAAGAATAAAAATATTAAATTATTCTGATCTAGTAATACAGTAATAAATCTATATAATATTATAAAATTACTAACACAGCAAGTCAATATAAAAATTCCTTTTAAATACAAAAAACATATTACAAATAGGTAATCCAATCAAAAGAACAACAAAACAAATTTTACATATTTTTCGGCGGTACCTTAGTTTTATTATTTTTAAATCGTTCATCAATTAATATATATGTAGGTTATATATATTAAAAAAAACTCACCACATATTAAAATATTCAAACCTATTAATTCAAAAGATAGCACTATTTATATTCAAAAAAATATATATTGTATCAATAATAAATTAATTTTTATTAGTTAGTGCGGAACACCCACACAAACCTACAACGGACACAGAACTGAAGTAGTGAAGGTTGCCCGCAAAGGACTGTTGCAAAAGAATTCACACCATTATTAAAACTATCTCTGAGACAATTGCTATCAATAAATGTCACGCAAGAAAGGTTACACTAATCCCAATGACAAATTTCAAGTTTACGAAGGACTTAAAAATATACAGATAAATAAAAAATACAACATAGATAACAAATTTGAATAATACCTCAGCACAATTCGTCACGTTGTTCCAGGGGCCAGTATAACTTTTTACTTGAGAATATCGACGAAATAGAATTGCGCTAGTGATGTTAAAACTATTTTCTTTTACAATAGCAGAGAATGATAAATTTTTATCATAACAAAGGCTGTTCGTTTTCACATAATCGTTGAGCTGCAACCTTGAGCTATATAACTTTCTTAAACTCTCGATATATTAATGTGACAGAACGAACCATTTCGTCAACTCTATCGCAATAGCTCTTTACTTGCATTACGTTTGTTACGGAAATGTATTGTCATTTTCGATATTTTTTCAATGCTTACATTATTTAAGACTTATAATTGCAACAAAATAGGTTTAGACCATTTTTATGTAGATAAAGACTAGAAAACGTTAGCTTAATATGGACTTTTTTCAGTATTAATAATATGTTTTATATTTATTTTAGTACTCCGTAAAATACGAGCTCGATCTTTGTGCAAAATTCATTTATGATTCTCTCCCTCTTCAGTAATAATATTATAATAATACTCTTATAATATTTAAACCGTTTTCAGATTCAGATGTATTCAGTGAAATCACTCGAATATTATTTTTATTTAAAATTATTTTTAAATGTTTCTTTATTTTCGGAAACTCATAAAATGATATTTACTTTCAACGTACTGTAATCACAGAATAGGCTTGCATAAACACCACTTGTATGAAATATTTTATTTTCATTTGGATAAGATAATGAATATTTTTGGAATGTCTTAGTTACATAAAACTTATGATCAATTAATATTGTATATAATATGTTGTGCATTCACCTTTCCGTGACATCAGAGGTTCTTTTCTCCTCTATTTATTTCTATATCGTTAACATGAAAGTCATTTTAACTATCCTACTTATACTTACATTTTTGCAGTAATTTTCACAGAATTTGTGGTATACGAATCATAGTTTAACATTATTTTTTATATTTATACACGTACAATGATGACGTCACGATGACATATATATAGGGTGTACTTGTGTATACATCGATAAATATGTACTAAATAAAATAAATATATATTTTATAATTAAGAACGCTGTAAGTCTCAATAGAAAATTTAAATTTAATTAAAATTTGACGTGTAGTTGAGCCGTTAAACGCTTACATGCTAATTATGTTTACATCATTTATCCAATAATTTATAACTGTAAAGTCACAAATCTCATCAATGATCTCGTAACCAACTCGATACAGTAAAGTTCTCACTAAATTGGTGATAGATTTACTTACCCATTATAACTGAAAATTATGCAAATAAAAGAGATAAGTCAAATATACCCATTTTAATAGGGGAATTGCTCAGATTCAAACAAATCACAGGTAATTGCAGATCAGATATCACAGAACTATTAGATATCACCGTCGCTGGTACTATGTTGAAAGTCTGATCCCCTAAAAAGACAGTTCTTGTAGCATTTCATTTTATTGCCTAGTAATTACAGACTCCTTTAAGTGTAATATTTTAGCTGCATTTACCTCGATGCAGTTGCAAAATAGAAAAAATGCATCAGAAAAGTTTTATATATTTTAACTGTCATTAACAAAAAATATTTATGTCAAATTTTTACATAGAGAAAAAAAGAAAGAAAGGATTTGCTTTATAAAATTTCAAATAGAAAAATTGAAAATTTCGTTTACACGATCAGAATTCGAACCTGCAACATTAGGTACGTTGACTGTCAGTTAAGTTATTTCTTCTATATTTTGTTCTTATTTTTTAGGCATTAGAGCCTAGCTGTGGTCATGTTACTACAGACCGAAATGGGCTGGCTCCACCGGGAAAGTATCACCCTCTCACAGAAGATCGGCGTGAAGTAGTTATTATTTTTACGTTAGTAGTTACGTTCGTTAAGTAAGAGAGCCAATTTCTCTTTCCCTATTCCCACCTTTTCCTGTCATTTCCTTATTCCCACCCCTCCCTATTCCTAAACAACCGAGTATGGCAACGCATATATATAACAGAGATGTTGTGGTTTTCCATGAGCGACGGTGACTACTGCCCATCGGGTAGGCCGTCTGCTCGTTTACTACTTTGTATATAAAAAATAAAGCTTTTCATAATGGCAATACACCTATGTTCCTACTATACATAACAAATTTTATTTCACTTAGTACGTCAACGTCCTGTATTTTATCGACTCGGAAATAATCAATTCATTTACAACATGTTTTTTCAGCTAAAATAATATTTAAACGAAACAATAAATTCATAAAACATAATTTTAAGGCAAATTTTAATATGAAATAGAATATATTTTTTAAATTTTTTAGTGATCAATAATAATTAATCATTTTAAAATAAAATTGTATTAGAAAAAATTATCGCAAAATGACTCATCAGCTTTGATTGATTGATAAGTTTTATGTTTTATTACTAAATCATCGAGGATCTTTAACTCTAGATGAATCTTTGTGTATATCTATATAGTTTGTTTGCACTTCTTTCGAATTTAAAATAAATTGTATAAAAAATGCAAAAGGGACACATCACTAAATGGGGAATTATTTGAAATGACGTTAATGAAGAAAATAAATATCATAATATGTAGATAAACAACAACTTTTATTTTCATCCTTTTATCATAATTCTTTTATTTTATTACTTTATTTTTGTAAATGAGAATTATTGTCTGTAAAAGATATTAACTTCACCAGTGGCGGCTGTACCTTAAGTGCGCCCGTGCGCTGAACCACCAATTCAAAATATTTAAAAATTACAAAATATTATGTCATCTTAATTTTTAAATTACCATTTTAATATTTATTTTTTAAACATACAAAAAGGTATAAAAAATTTAATTTCCAATTATGGTCAAAAAGTTTGAGCGCTTTACTAAACTCATATCGTGCGCTCCGGCGAGTGCACGAGGACTGCTAATACATCTTGTATGAGACACGCATCAATACGCCTGGCGCGTGAGACAAAAGATAGTTCATAGAAATGCACCGAGTAACGAGTCGGTTCTCGCGCGCCGCACGAAGCGGCCGAAGGTTACCGAGAGCACCCGATGTATGACGTATTGAGCCGGCCGGCAAGGGGCCGGCCGAAAGGATGGGTGCTATGATTGACATTTCGTTAATCGTTATTGGTATTGTTTCAACTTTCACTGTATGCGTGACGCGTTAATTCGTTATTGTTTATAATTATTTCCGTAATTCGTTATAGTTTTTATTTCGTTTCTATAATAGAACTTTTATTCTGTACTGTGTTTTTTATTAGTTGAAAATGAGTATAAATATTGATTATATTAAAGAAAATAACAAAATTTTTCAAAGTAAAGTGAACATAAAATTGGCCGGGCCGCCAATTTGCATTATTTTTGGCGGAGAATCGATTTGGACAGAAACTGGAATCAGATTTTAATAAAAAGGTGATAGAACATTTCGCTACAGAAAAATGTCGTCGCATTGATTTAATGTACAATAAATAAACATATTTTATGTCAATTGTTGTTTTTGTCAATATTTTAGTAAAGTGAACCACCAGTTCGATAACCCACCAGCCGCCACTGAACTTCACAATATTGCAAATGCCAAACGCTATGTAGTATCTATATATATATGTCTCTTTAGATATTAAAGGTTTCGATGCCCATATGCATATTATAAATCCTTAAACTACTGAAGAGATTTTCCAAAAAAATATCAAAGTACTATCAATACATACTATGAGATCATTCAAATAACAGCATTAATATTAAAACCGTATATTGATGTTTAACCTGGCAACAAATGTATATACCTACATAATTATTTTATTGCTCACAATTAGTCGCTAACATCGTCTGGTACATGTAAGATAGGATGAGGCCATAATTAAAAACATAAAAACGGTAAACCTTCAGCCAATATTTGATAACAAAACTCAAACAATGTCAGTCACTAGACGACAAGGAATATCTGCAAGTGCAGCTGTTATTTGTAATTATATCTTCTATTAAAATTCTACCATAAATTATGTTGCTCATTGTAACTATTTTTTATTTTTACCTTCCATATTGTTTAATGATATCTAAGACTTTGACGTGTGTTCATTTAAATGGAACTAATATATTCGGATTACTATGCGTCATTTATTATTTTTAAAACTACAAACTCCCGACGTTTTGGCTGCTGCAACGTATGTAGTTTTAAAAATAATAAAATATCTCGTAGTAATCCGAAAATATTAGTTTCATTCCATATTGCTGGTAAGAAATCTGTACAACAAAATATATAAGACCTTATATTTTCGAAGTCAAGCATTTTCACTAGAGGAATATATTTTTATATCGCGAAATAACTGTTGTGCACATTCATTTTACAATGGAATCTATCCAAAGTATGAGGAAGAGACATCTTAGGAAATCGTCTTTGCTGTAGGTACTATTATAAAAATGTATCCAGAAAAATATCCAATCCAGAGATGATATAAGGTCAAAAAAAACACATCCATCTATATAAAGATTTTTGTCTATATGTATAATATTCATAACTCACAGAGCCCGAAGTTGTATCGAATAAATCTAAAAAAATCTATCGATGTACTTTTTGTGAGAGAATTTTTTGTTTTATACCTCACGAGCAAATATTCTTATTTTATGATCTACCAAATGACTTCTAAATTGAAACCACTTTTGCCATGTTGAGCCAATAAATGCAAATTCTCTGACAGATCTTAGTACAAATTTAGTTAGAAGTCAAAGTTATATATTATCTCCCATTTTTGGAGAAACTATACAAATTTGTGTCTTCGTAGAGTTAAACAATTTTTTTTTCTGTCTATCATTCAGTAACCTGGTCTATTTTCTACCCTAAAGATATTTGCTAGACCCGCGGCTCATTGGGCGATCATCCCAAACGGGGCACTGAACAGGGCTGTACTCCGACAGACCCCAGAGTATAGCCGCCTGCAAGCTGCGCTGGGTCCTCCGAGGTTCGGGAGGAATTTTCTTAGCGCACCTGCCGTCCTCAGGACCTTCGGCCACAGTTCCTTGAATTGAGGCACGAAGGTCCACCCTCCGTCAAGGATTTTTTTTTTTTTTATGGGAAAAGGGGGCAACCGAGCAGACGGCCTACATGATGGTAGGTAGTTACCATCGCCCATAGACATCCGCAACGTATATTTGCGGATGTGTTGCCTAATTGTGTCTTCATTGGGGAAAAGGGGGACGAAAAGGTGGGAAAGGGAGGAAAAGGAAAGGGTGGGAAAAGTTAAAGGGCAACCGGCTCTCTCACTCACCGGACGAAACGCAGTCTTGTAAAGACTACTTTACGCCGATTTTCTGCGAGAGGGTGGTACTTCCCCGGTCGAGCCAGCCCATGTTCGAGCTGTAGTAACTGACCACAGCTAGGCTCTACCACCTCATAAATTGATGATGATGATGATATTTCATTGTAGGACTGACCCTGAATATTTGCTAGACCAGTGTATAAAACTTTACCCAAATGTATGAATGACGACATTGGTTATTTGGAATAAAGGTAAATATATGTGAATAAGTTTACAGCTCAAAACTTTTTTGAACGCCAATATTAAAGAAAACAGACACATGTCCTTTAATATGCCACCTACTCGATTTAAATACTCCACAAAAAAACTGATTGTAAATAATTACATCGTAAGTTTGTAGCTTAGACTGAAAATCTTGATACTGGATCTCAACTAAGACATAATCGTTGTTCAGGCTTTTGGTAATTGACTTTAATAAATACTCCATATTTAAAAAAAGTTCATGTTCATTATATTCTAATCATTCTTCTTTTCTCTCAGTATTAGATATGTTATATTTTAAGACACAATGAAGACCTTCGAGGCTAAACAAAGGCTCAATAATAATAGGCCAGGGTGAAATTAATTAGTAAAGGTGTTTTTACCTTTTCCGGTTTTTAACGCAAAACATTTAAGTTTTAAATCATATAATGTTTTTTAAATCATATTTGTAGGTGAATATTTATAAGTGACAAAAATTTAATACACTAAAATTGAGGGCTTTGAAGATTTTATACAAAATTAAATTTAAATATAATATTTCTACTGAACTTTGCGGGTTTTATGAGAGACATTTCGTATTTTTCCTAAATGTAGTGAAATATCCCATACAACAATTTTCCCAATAAAATACGCAAAACAAATAAAACATAATTGCCACTCATATTCATTCTGTGCACTATCATTTATGTAAATCATGACTATAATAATTGTTAATTCGATGTTCGTGTCTTTTCAAATCTACGTGACATTGACATAATATACTATGCATATTTTGCCCTATTGAAGAACATAAATAAAAGATTAGATTTGAGTCTTCAACTAATATTGATGGTTCTGATACTTCAATACTTATTGTTCGTATTTTAAAAGAAAACATCCTACATCATCAATTTCGTATTTTAAGTTAAAATAGTGCAGTATTTATGGTTACCCTACATATTTTAAGAAATTTTTTATGAAACTCATTCAGCATTTAACGTGTTGAACAAAAACAACTTCATTATATAATAAGCCAAAGGCACAAGTTCTCGGCCAAGGTGAATACTGTATCCGGAAAAAACTGGGACCAAATTATCTTACAGACGCAATTTATTTAATGTTTAATCACTGTATCAAATTATAGTTATAAAAAGGAAGGAGTTGACAATATTTCAGATATGCTTCTTAAAAGATTATTTTGTATATATGTACAGAGTATGTTTGCACAGAGAGAACTGTTGACATAACGATATGTGTTTCCATTGGCACACGTCATAAGTCACAGTCGTTATGGGCTTAAATAAGACTGTGACTATGGTATATAATTGTTTTAGATAAATTCCAGAACCAAAAATGTCCGGATGGTATAATGTTTCTGTATCAAACATTATCTATTTCATGGTATCTAACCAGTCATATAGAGCGTGCATATTTCGGTTATCAGTTATCTGTAATTACATTTCATTGCAATACAAGTGAGTAGAGACGCATAAAATTACCTTTGTAAAGTTTAGCTACTTCATAGATATGTTCCATCACTCAGATTACCACATTCTTATTACAACTTACAAGAATAGACCTAACGTATATCACAGATAAAGGTCAAAATAATTTAAAATTTTATATTGAAATTAGTTTTGCGCGCGACTTCGTCTGGTGTCAATTTTAGAACTATAACTGACCCAGCCAACTTTGATTCTCCCCAGAAGCAGTAAATAAAAAGATTCTGGATTTTACTAAATTCAGTAATGATATAAAAAGTAGGTACCAAATGTCCGTCTCCTGATTACAATAAATTTTCAGCCAAATCGGTATCGCCGTAGATGATGTATAAATAATGTAACTAACACGACTTTCTTTTATAATTTAGAAGTAACTAAGAATTCGTTCTCTTAGAATTTTTAAAGTAAATGTATATAAGACACCACAATTCTTGACAGGCTCACAGATTTTTACATAAGCTTAGTAATGTTTGTCTTGTATACATAGTTATTATGATTTTTTTTATTTAACATTTACTAATACCTATACTTATGTATTTCTTGTTGTTTGTTCCTATGATAAGGGAAACGGCTCATAAAGGTACGAAGTATATAAATGCTCGTAAAATGCCCTTGGAACATGACCATCACAATAAGAAATTACACAGTTTCATTGAAATTTGAATATTTCATATTAAATTAACTTAGACACTTACACATTGAATTGAAAAAAAAGAGAAATATCTTGTTTTTTTCGTTCAATAACATACAATACAAATTTTTACACTACGTAAATACAAGTAAATATGACGTTAATTCCTTTAACATTAGTATTTGGAAAGAATTTATTTTATTTACTTATAAAATTGTTACGATGTTACACATTTTTATCACATTCACCTTTGATAGCATGGTAAAAAAAAATATTTTATTCCATATTTACATTAACAAAACAAAATTTTCATAAACAATATCGCTTCCGTAATTTCGTAAACAAATTAATAACTGGCAACATTCGAAACACAACAAATATTCCTTGTTATTTAAAAGAATATAAAACAAGAATAAAGTTTAAAAAATATATAAATTTAATTTGAAAATTACAGTCAATCATCAAGTCCGAACACTAATTGTTAATCAGATTCAGATAATTCAAGCTATTATTTTTATTAGAATCATAATATTTTCTCTTTTTTATATTTCCCTTGATCCATTAACATATATGAAACCTATACATGTATATATGCTGTTTTATTTTATCGAACTATAGTCAAGATAATAGTTATTAGTAAATAATACATAGCTTCCGTAGTAACAATATTTCATAATGACCTTTTACTTGTGATATCTGTCTGTTCATAATATAATTAGAAGTAACAAACACGTCCTCTACTAAACTATATTTTACATAATGTAAATTAATTATACTCTGTAATAATACGCTCTTGTACCAATTATATAACAATTACTTGACAATCAATCTATCAATAACATTGTGAGATCATTTCAAAGCAAGTTCCACTTTAATCTAGTACCTACCTACTGATAAAACCTTTCTAATTATAACAAATGTATATTTTACTTTCGCTCTACAAACTAAATTAAAAATAATAATAAAAAAACACAAAATAATGATTTTGATTTCCATTAATACTATCTAAATTGAATATTAATATTTTATTTCGTCCTAAATAATTTATTACAAAGCCTTCTCACAGATTAATAGTTTTTGTCGTATCAATGACTTACAGAAAGCCGTTGCCCTTGACCTCTAACACAACTTAAACGTGAATTGATATATAAGATTAGATCTATATAAATAGCAATAAACAATAATCTGGTTTCTTATCTGATACAAGTACATAAGTATAAAAAAAAATCTTATCACATTGCTAATGGACTGTCAGAACCGTAAAGTCAAATTATTGTTCTTTTTTTTACATTCATTATGAACGTTTGTCTATATAAATTATATAATCTAATGGTATATAATTATTTCTTTGTCAATCTGTGGATCTTCAAGCTTACAGCGACCCTATATTTTAATCGTGCTTCAAATAAAATTTTGTATGTTTCTAAAAGTACTAACTCAAATTCCAAGTTAAATCTGCTCTCCTCTTAGTGCTATTGGGATGTAAGACAAAATTCTGGGAGCAATAATATTTTAATATAAAGAAGAAGAACCTTTTTGGCATTTCTCTTCAGAGCAGCATTTATGCTTTTCTGTATTAGGGATATGAAGGAAAACAAGCAAACAAGATGGTGATTCCATACCACTGCCCATTGATACCTAAAACTACGGCAAAGTTAGGAGAAATTATTGAATTTAAATAAATTTAAATTATGGAACTAGGCATGAATGGCTTTAATGTTAATTTTATTAAAATTATATTAAGACTGGCATAGCCAATCTCTAAGAGCTCACGGAAGTGGAACTCAGATCTACTGAGAAAAGTCGCCAAAGAACGTTTAATTTCAGCATATCACATTGTTAAGGATATTCCAAATAAAAGTTAAGTTCACCCGAGATGCATGGGATTTTCATTGGAATTAGTTATTCACTAATACTATAACAAGAAAAAAAATATTTACAATATTTTATTCGTAAATTGAAAACTACATACATTATTTATCCTCAACGAATTAACTACTTGTGATAAAGCTACCTTTACTTTGACAGAAAAACACTACTAATTAAATATGAGAATGATTAGCTTATATTTTAAATTGTACAATGTCACCTAAAGGCTTAAAATAAGAAGGCAAAACGATTATAAAAAGTGTACTTTGGTTTTATGTAACCCTGATTCAAATGTTACGTTGTAAATATTCAAATAGAGATTTCAGAAATTTCCTACGGTTTAACAAATGCTTGCACACAATAAACTTAGTGTTTTAATTTCATTTTATGCAAATTGTTTTTAAAGAAACACAATGGGAAATCAATAAACATGATAGCCTTTTAGCAATTTAATCCCAATCTGCATCTTAAAGTATTAATACATATTAAATTTTATCATTTATATGATAAACGCGATTTAAAAAGTGAGAACGTTGACTGTTTAAAGACAAATAAAAAATGGGCAAATAATTATGAATAAATCGTACACGGTTTGTATTGTGAGCAATTGCGAGCCAACCGAAGTTCGCGATCAAGTGTAATGCTATATGTAATAGATAAGAGAAAAATTAGAGATGATGTAATAAAATCTTTTCTTTGAAAAATTGCAACAAAGATTCATTATATTACTCTAACTTTGTACTCTACACCTATTGTTGTTTGTGGGTTTCCGTAGCTCGTAAAACAAACTATTTTTTTTTCCAACTATCTTGATCAAGGAAGAATAAAAGATACTGTTCTATATTAAAAATCTATCGCAACTGTAAGAACCACTTCGCAAAAGCTTAGCTGAATATATAAACAAATATTTGTTAACACATATGTGTTTAATATAATGCGTTTTGATATATTGTCTCGAAAATTAATGGCAAGAATTCTAAAATTTGTTCATATCCCATAAAGTAAAGTATAAACTTTCATTCCCTAATCATTCTCGAATTACACAAATGCCTACGTTAAGTAAAAAAAAAGTGTTAAGTGAAAGAAAGATCTCAAAATTTCATTTCAAGGTAAATAATTTATCATTGGAAGCAATTTAGAAAAAGGATCAAATGTCTTTGTCACTTACAGCCAAATTATTTTACCATAACTTCTTCGTCATATTATTTGAATTAAGAAAAAACTATTCGTTTCCATACTTTATCACATTTTTTGATACTTTAGTACTATTTCAGTACACAGAAAACTTTATTCAGTGGTTTGAAATTTACTAAGTAAGTATGATTAAATAAAATATAACGCAATATAATTAAGTATTATGAACTATGAAGAGTGTATGAGACGTAAGTATGTACGAGTCTTGTGTATTTAAAAAAAACAGACTAGAAAAACAAAGCGGAAGAAACAGGAACAGAAATAAATGTGTTTTGCTTTAAAGCGTTGCCTAAGAAATATCAACATTGAAATTTCCACAAATTGCCATTGATTTGCTTTTGCAACATACCACATTAACAACCTACTAGGGACTTCCATCAAACTTACTTTCAAACTCATCATCGATTAAGGTTGAACCGTACCCAACCCACCTACTCGTATTTCATAGTATGTACTTCTTTATTGAAGTCTATCTACGTAAATACTTCGTTTTATTTTCGACCACTTGATAAAAAAATTAAAGTAAGAATATAGTTCGCTATATTCTTACTTTAATTTTACATTTTCCCTATAGATAGATTAGTGATTTATAAAACTAATACACATTTATCCTAAAATAAAAAAAATAAGGCACGTCAATCAACGCGTAATGCTAGACAAACAGACAAATGTATGATAAATACTACTAAATATCGTTCCCGACTCTTTCTAATTGAATAGAAAAAGAAGTTCATAAACAAATAACACTATTCATATCGAATATTTCAAGTATTATTGTTGTAGTAAATATATGACAATATAAAAAATAGTGAGATCTAGTATTGTAATTGATTTAGTTTCATTTAAATATAAACAATTTTAAAATATAAACATTTGCATATCAAAACGAAATGGATGTTGGTCGTTTGGACAATGCTTGTTTATTAACGAAATATTATAAATAGTAATAATACCTATTGCTATAATAGTTCTTAGTTTAATATTACCAATATTTTATTTTTCATTTTTATAGTCTTGATCTTTTTGAATATATTTATTGATTGAAAGAATTTAAATTACTTACAAAGTAAATTGATTTTAAAAATTGTTTTGGTCAAACTCCTATTTTCTATATAATAGATTAATCAATAATCAGTAAATCTTTAATGTCATCCTTAGTTTTCAAAATAAACTTATTTTCCGAACTTGAGAAAACGTCAGTTTCAAATTCTAAATTGACAACCGATAGGCGATAATAGGTTTTATTTATATCTAATGAAATAGGAGTATTATTTTATAAGTAATTAGAATAATACGGAATATGTAACTATATAGTATAATTGTATTCTGGTGACGCTATAAAAGCCACAGGGATAACAAAATTTGTGGATTTAACAAAATATACACACAGTATAAATATTATACTACGTCTACTGCTACGAGAGAACTTCGATTCTAAGGAGAGTTAAAAGAATTACTATGGCTAATGTAGTGGAGGTGCTAATTCACGCCTCAGAAAAAGCTGCCTCAATAGCAAGATCTTGTACTATATCTGGATCAGAGACACTGCTTGTGTCAGAAAAATCTGAAACAGAGGCAAATAAGCGCTTCGATAAAGATTACAAAACCATTGCTGATGTTCTGGCTCAGGAAACAGCAAAAGCTCTTATCACTGCTCACTTCCCTCAATTAGTTGATCATGTGAGGGGTGAAGAGTGTGCGGAAATTAATGGAGTTAAGATCAGTCTGCAGAATAATGTAAAGAAGACAGCTGAAATGCTTGGTGCCATTTTACCGCAAGCTATAGCTCATAATATGGCTGAAGCTGCACATAAAGATGTAAGTCAGAACTTGCCTCAATTGCCATCAAATCTTCCAGTTATGGATCCCGCTGAAGTAGGGATTTGGATTGACCCTATAGGTATTTATATTTATAATTATATGTGTGTGTACTTAAACAAAAATAAGAGTACCTTGTAATCAATTTTTCTTCATTCATAACTTATTAGAATTTTAATCTAAATAATAGTAACCAAATACATTAAATATTTTTTCAAGATGGTACTGCTGAGTTTATTGCTGGTATTCAGGGTGAAGCCAAGCCTGGTCACGGGTTACCATGTGTCACAGTTCTGATTGGAGCTTACTTACGGTCTTCTGGCAAACCAATCCTGGGAGTTATAAACCAGCCATTCTATGACAAGTATGTTTAAAACTTAATATTCTTTTGTCTTATTAATCAAATGTTTTTCTTGTACAATTTATATGATACTATTATAGATTTTTATATACATTTTTCAGTGGCAAAGGCCGTATAATATGGGGACTCAATTATGCAGACAAATGTAAATGGTCCCATGAAAATAATGTCAATACAAACAAAGTAATTCTAATGAGCAGTGCTGAAAAACCAGAAATAGTTGAGAAATTTAAAAGTCTTGGATGGGAAGTGAAATCTGTTCCTGGCGCAGGCCACAAGCTGTTAAAAGTAGCTATAGGTGAATATTAACTAATATTTCTCTTTACTTAACATTTTTTTATTATGATTTAATTCAAACCTTTAAGAGTCAAGTTTATCTCTGAAGTGTGAAAAAATCTACTAATTCTACTTCTCCAATGGTACATAATACATTGAAGCTTTTGTAGCAGCTTCAAAACATATAAATCTGTTTCTGTTCAAACATACATTTAATTTACAATATAATCTATAATTTATATACATCTTTTTTTTTCAATTTCTATAAACTATATTTACCTTATCAGAATCACACATTGAGACAAACCAATTGTTTAATTTCATCATGAATAAAATATAAAGCATACTTTTTCTATTTCACCCATTATATTAATTATTGTGTATATTAGAAGAATCTTCTAAAGAATAAAATCTTTTACAGGTGAAGCGTCAGCATATATAGTTTCTCAGGGAACAACTTTCCGTTGGGATACATGCGCCCCTCATGCCATATTACTAGCTAAGGGCGGAAATGTATTGAACTATACCGACTATACACCACTTACATACAACGATCAAAAGGATCTTGAAGCACATGAGTATTGTAACAAAAACGGTATTATAGCTTATGATAATAACTCCATTTTGGAAGAAATTAAAGATATACTAAATTCAGTATAATATTTTAATTTTTCATATATTTCTTCTAAGTGTCAAATGTAATGTGTCCCATAATCAATTGTATTACCAGTGAAAATACCCATTGACATTTTTATAAAATTTATATAAGGATAAAAATTATGCAGTATTATAATATTAAAATCATGTGACATGTATTTAATTAAAATTATGATCATATATTAAGTATTTAATATATTTTACATTTAATTTTTAATATGTTACTTTTGTATTCATATTATATAGATTTATATTAAACTTGATCTCATTAAATTATACCAACATGATCTCATTTATAATAATAATTTAATATTTAATTTATTGTCAAATGTTTTTTGATATTTGTGTTGTTAAAAATAAATAATAAAATATTTATTATTTACATTCATTTATTTTCCTTACATTAATCACTATCACTAGAATCAGAATCTGATTTACTTCTTTTCTTCTTTTTCTTCTTACTCTTTTTTTCTTTGCGTTTCTTTTTCTTTTCTTTATGCTCTTTTTCCTTTAAAAAGAAAGATAAGTTAATAAAGTATACTACTTTAATGACAAAACATTTTCAATGTAACTTACCGTTTTTATAGGTACTTGAGGTACAGGTACAGGCTGTGGGAGTTGAGCTGGGGCACACCCTTCTGTTCTTATAGCAGCTGTTACTTCATCAATTTTACTCATATCAGCATTTGGTGCTCGATACTGCTCGCAATGATCAACTCTGATTGTTCTTCCTAAAATCTTGTATAGAAAAAAATACTGTTAATAAATTACATACTAGCTTTAAAATTTAAATAAAAAATAAAAGGAAATTTCATTGTCAGTAGAAAAACTTATATAATGGAAAATTTCTATTTAATTGGTCTTTGAAGAAGCAACATTGTCATTATATTTCAAACTGTTCACATTTATTCAAGTAATTATGTTTTTAATATTAATGTGATGTTGAAGCCAAAAAACATACAAGTTCATTTTATAGAGAAACTTATCCATTAGTTTTAAGTCACTAAACTATATAGAGTTAAGCATAGAGTTGATTTAAATAAGCAGTAGGTAGGCCAGATGTGCCACAGAATCGAGTGCAGACTAGTTCTGAAATAAAGACTGCAAACCAGTAAATAAAGTACAGATAACAGAGCAATTTTTGCTAAGTGGGGAAATGTTATGTTTATGTTAGAGGGGAAAATTTGGAGGCTAGTGACATACTATAGGGGAGGTCTAGGGAATTAAATCTATCTATACATACCTTTATACTATTTAAATTGTCAACAGCAAGGATTGTCGACCTTTGGTCTTCATAGCATATGAATGCAAAACCTCTTGATCTACCAGTGTCTTTATCTCTTACTAAATTTATGTTAACAATCTCTCCATATCTGTGAATAGAATTATAAATTAAGGCTCTTCTAACTTAAATATCAAATACGATTGTAACGAACACTCACTGAGAAAAAACACATATAACATCCCCCTCAGTTAAATCGTAAGGAAGACCACCAACAAAAATCCAAGCACTATCTTTGTATTGGTCATGCCAAGAACTTTTAGAATTCCCGCTTAATTCACGTTCACTTAACTTTAAAACATTCTTCACATTGCTGGAAAAATATAATGTTGGATTAGTTAATGAAAATATTTAGAAGGATCTGTATATTGTTGAATCATTATGTATAATGTTACTCACGTCATAGGATTCATCTTGCTTGATATTTAAAATATGTGCCTAATGCATTGATTTTAAACTAAACAGTAAACAGCGCTTAAAGCATGATGTATGTAAAATATAAATATTGTTTGAGAATTAAGAGCATGTCGTTGACACCAAAGTATAGAGTATAAACTAACCTCTTGACACTGAACTCATTAGTCATTACTTTCTTCAAAATCTGTATGAAGCAATACTTATTGCGCGCGATCAAAATTTCATATTAAATTATATAGAGTGTAATACCTTAAAGTATAGTTCTTAAAAAAATTAAAAAATATCCGAAATATTTAGGGTTTTACGCATAGTTTGCTTTTTTTTGAGTGGTCATTAAATCTGTCGTAACATTTTAATTTTTGAACGATGTCAACCCACAGTCACAGTAGCACTTAGCAGTACTTTTGACGTAATAGGCATTGACAGGTGACGCGATAAATAAACTGAGCTTACTATTCAGCACTTTTGTAACTCAAGTTAATAAACTATTAAACCAAATATTATGATAGCATATCCACTTCATAAGATTAGTTTTCAGTCATCATAAATTGTATAGGAAATGGCAACTCCGTCTTCTGATGCTGCAGATCAATTTGATCAAGTAGGATTTTATTTACCAACGTTTTGAGTACCTGACTCCTTTTATTCTTAAGTAATTCTCATAACAACTTTACAGTTTGATGACGAAGAATCGGAACAACAATTGGGTGCTACAGCGTCTGGTAGGAAAAGACTTTTCAGCAAAGAATTGCGATGTATGATGTACGGTTTCGGTGATGATAAGAATCCATATACAGAAAGCGTTGATTTCTTAGAAGATCTTGTTATTGAATTTATCACTGAAACTACACATAAGTAAGTAATTTAAATAATTATTATTAGCTTTTTCTTTCGAAAAATTGATCAAGTTTAATAAAAATTCTGCTTCAGAGCTATGGAAGTTGGTAGACCAGGAAGAGTTCAGGTGGAAGATATAATATTTTTGGTGCGCAAAGACCCTAGAAAATATGCAAGAGTAAAGGATTTGTTGACTATGAATGAAGAGCTTAAAAAAGCTAGAAAAGCTTTTGATGAAGTCAAATATGTTGGTAAGTATAGCATCTTCTGTGATACATTATAAAGAATATGATTTGAAAACTAATGATGATGAATTTCAAGCATAAAAGTTATTTTAATGTGTTGCATTTTCATAACAAATTAAGTATTTAGTATGATCAAATTATTTAACCGCATACATTTCTTTTGCATGTATTATCATTGAAAGAAAGTATAACATCTATTTTACAATCATTAATTTAGAGATTCAATCATTTTGATGCATCCTTTTGCAATTTTTTGATTATTTTTTAATTTATAGAAGACCAACAATAGTGAACGACATGACGCTCTCAGACTGATGCAAGTAACAACAATATATTGACACATTGCTTCGATTTGCACTCACAATATGCTATATGTTATGCTTTGTGTTTAAACCGGCTACTAACTGTAAGAAATGTTAGTGTGATAACTCACTAAACTTAGAATTTTCACACAATACATATATTGAAATTAATTCATTTGGAACTTGTTGGGGTGTAAAAGTTTGTTATACAATCATACTATAATTCATATATTTAGCAATTAAGAATTTAGCAATTATTCATAACTCAATATTCTTATTTAAATTTTAGTACTATGGATATATTAGAGCAAAGGTTAGAAGAGATTTTTTTACTTTTTTTTCCAAATATGGCCATGTCTTTGTTTGGCCAGTGTCATGTAATTTTGAAAGTTAATGGACTATATGAACTTTTTTTTTCTCATGCTATATTCAAATCATGAATTATAATTTTCATCTGTATTCATGGTTTGCTAGATCTTTTTTGTTCTAACAAAATACTAGTATTAAAATTACATTAATGTTTGAGAAAAAATAATTTAATATGTAGCAAAATTTATCTTTTAAAATGTAATGTATGGGATTGGATGTTTATTATTTGTGTATATAAGGGTTTGAACACGAGTAGTTAAATGTTAATTATAACTTAAATTATAAATTTCATTAATAATATTATTTTCAACACTTTCAGGTGAATAAATTGCTTCACATACAATAATGTTCTGGCAATGTGAGTATGTCCTACAACTATTCTAATATGAATAGTTCTATAATAATTCATATCTGATATATTATATATATTTCCAGGAATTTTGTTATGGAATCCATCAAGTGTAGGAGACATTCCATTTAATACCAATCCTCAAGCAAAGAAACTTATTAAAGACTGTATTTGTATAATAAAATTAATTATATGATAATTTTCTTTCATTGTAAAAATAAAAAACACCTACAAATTTGCTAATCATATATTGTGCGATTATAAAAAAAAATACAATTATGCTCAATAATAAAATAATACAACAGACTTAACTAAAAATGATAATAATCAACTTATTATGTTAATGAAATAATTTACAAGATTCATTATAATTTATCTAAAAATAATATGAAAATGTATTATGTAATGCTGAAATAACACTTGCATTTATAAATAAACGATTCTCCAATTAGTTCCAATAAAGAAAAAGCTATAAAGCAGATGAACGCGTTGTTTTATAAACAATATATTTTATGATTTACCAAAACGTTATATAATAAATTAATAAGACATTTTTTTAATCATCTAATATTTAATAGTTATAAATAAATGTAACAACTCAGGTGACTAGACCTGTTCCAAACAGCCGATCTAAACTTTGGTTCTTCACAACATTCAATGTATATAATAAATAGGCCACTTATCGGCAGTGAAATGTTATTTATATAAATAACTACACCTACATATAGAGAAAAAGCTAGTAGAAAATGTTAACTATTGTATATTATATATAAATAAACCAGTCAAGGAACTCAGGCAATGATACTGAAGGAACATAAAATTTAGGAAATCATATATTCCACTAACCAAAAATGAGGAAGACAACAATATGTTCTCTCTCACTCTAACAAACATTTTATTTTAAATAAAAACTTTTCGTCAACTTGAAGTTTAGGCTTTGGTAACTGTATTTTAATAGCACACATATCAAAATGTTTAAGTCAGATGACTGATTAAGGCCTTCATATAATATTAATAAAACATACAATAATAATGGTTTCTAAAACACTGAAATTATTACAATACACAAATATAGGCCCCAAGCATATTAAATATGCAGTATATGAAATAAATGGTAAATACAACATTAATAAATTTTATAACATTGAATATAACTATAACTACATTTAAATAATGTATAAATAATTTTCATTCTACATCTATAAGGGAATAAGGCAAGTTAACCTGTAATGTCATCTATGTTTCCACTAATCTCTACAAATATAATGTCAAAAAACTTTAAGTCTTGTCAAATAATGTCATTACATTCCGGATAATTCTAATAAGATCTAAAAAGATTTGTGATCTCAATGAGAAAAAATACTAAGCATTGTTTCATACAATCATGATGACAAATAGACAGGCCCAATACAAAACTGTTCAAGCCAAAAAAATATTCATTAAAATCCAATATTAGGCAGATATTGTATTATCAGCCAATGATAAGTGATTTGTCACCATAAAAAAACTTACAAAGACCAAAAAAATTACAACTATATCAAAACCAGCCTCCGTTAAGTAATTATAATTGCAGATTGCTCTAATTTTTCTGTAGGCGTTTGATCATTGATTTATTTAGTGATTTTCTTCAGTATTCAGGGCTTAAAATTAGCCTCAATTAAGTAAATTTTACTGCAGACTGCTCTCATTTTTGTGTAGACGTTTGTTTGTTGATTTATTTAATGACATTCCTCGGGAGGGTCCATGGCTGTTATGATGGACTTCATAACAGCTGCTGCGGCCAGTGCAGCATGAGGCTGCCACTCCTTACCACGAGTACCGTCTCGGTAATCAGATATACCTAAATAATAAAATATATTCAATAATATTGTCAAATATGATGATCATTTTGATTAAAGGAGTTTGAATGTTGAGAAAGGAACTTGTATTACATGTATGTCTGGAAAGTTTTGCAAAAAACTCCAACAGAAAATGGTCTAGTTATCCAATTATCATAAAAAAGTATACTTAATAATATTGTCAAATATAATGTTCATTAACACTAAAGAAGTATAAAATTTCTGACCTATTTCGATATTCAGAAAGGAACTTTTATCACATAAATTTTGCGTATTGGAAAGTTCCTAACAAGATTTCCAGTCCATAATGGATTATTTCTACCAAATTAACATCAATCTAGCTATTAGACCAGACAAATAGATTCTACCCTCCATATATAGGGTGACTGGTGAATTACTATCGATACTTGAGGACGTGATATTTGACGATCATATATGACAAAATAAAAATTAATATAACATAAATATTAATAAACTTCTAAGTAAAGTTAACCAAAAGTTGTGTAATTAATTACGCATCGTGTAACCACCCTACAGATTAGGTATACACACACTCACACATACGCGCGCGCGGCGTGGTGTTGTATCAGCACGCCGCCGCACGCGTCCACACTTGGAACACTTGGAACGTATCAACACTTTATTTATTTATACGGAAATTTTGTCAAAAATTAAGTGCCTATTTTTTTTACATAATTCGAATGAGAATCATGTACCGAGTATTCTCCTTAAATATTGATAGTAATTCACCAGTCACCCTGTATATAGCCACTCACCTCTAATAGATATAAAGCAGTCCTTCCTATTGCCCACGACGCTATCTAACACAGCGTCTAGCTCACAGTCATATGCTAAAGCCCGGGCGTGTGAGGCGAAGGCAGCCCTCGCCTCCCCCGCCGCTGCGACGGCGCGTCCCCCCGCTACAGGCGCGCAGTGAATACGAGCGGCTCGCCTTTATAATGAAAATCAAGCATTATTATTATATGAAAGTCAAAACTAATGTGATAAATCAATTCATCAAGTATCGTCAGATATATGTAATGTAAATGTTAAGGTAATATAAAAGATCATAGATTAATTTCGACGTAAATAATACTGACGTTATAATACTATGTTGAAGTTTTAAGGGATACATAAAAAATATGTTTGTATGAAATGTGTTGATTAAGATAAGTGTATTCATTGAATCTAATGTAACAAAAATAAGTAATCTTTTTCAAAATTATACAACCCAGTAGTTTCAAAACGGCTCCAACCTTGAAAAAAGAGAGTTCTGAATCCTTAAAAAAGTATGAAGAATTTTAAAAGTCAAACAACAGTATTATTATATAATAAAATGTAAAATCAATATTAGTTTTATTTTTTTCTATGACTAACCATATACAAAACTATGCTTCACTGAAGAAAGTGTTGCCAGTTTTAAACAAAAAAAAAAATACTGACAGGATAGTACTTTTACTTTTTTAAGATGGTAGAGCCTAGCTGTGGTAAGTTACTACAGCTCGAACATGGGCTGGCTCGACCGGGGAAGTACCACCCTCTCACAGAAGATCGGCGTGAAGTAGCCTTTAGTGGCTGCGTTTCGTCCGATGAGTGAGAGAGCCGGCTGCCCTTTTCCTATTTCCCACCCTTTCCTACCATTTCCTTATTCCCACCCCCTCCTATTCCTAAAAAAACAAGGTTGGCAACGCATTCACAACAAACATGTTGCGGATGTACATGGGCGGCGGTACTACCTTACACCAAGTAGGCCGTCTGCTCGTTTGCCACCTTTGACATAAAAAAAAAAAAAAAAGTACTTAAAAATATGCATTATTTAAATATATTATTAAAATGTATATAAGTGTGTGTGTGTGTGTGTGTATATGTGTGTGACGTAAAATACAAAGAATTAATGAATATCTAATATAAATTATCACTTATATATGAAGTTAAATATTCGCTTTATATTAATAATAAATATTTGTATTTATACTATATTTTATTATTATATACTAAAATATATTCCATAAGTTGATTTTAAATTGAAAACGACTTTCCTTATATTCTTGCAGATAACACTTTTATCACTTCAAAACAATAGAAAACGTTATAACTTATAGCTGTATTAAGTATATTATTAAATAAAAACATTTTATATTAAAAAGTAAAATTTTTTCAATAATATTTTAATTGTGTCAAAAAATTCTTAAATCTTATAAGCTTAAGAAAAACAAATTAACTATTAATGCGAATAAAAAAATATCTTTTAAAGACATTTTATTTTATACTATCGTCATCTGTCGAATTCTTTAAAATTATTTATATTGGAATTGGAAAAATATTCCACAATTCCAGTATGAATGAAGCCATAGTATAAAAAACGATAACCAGCACAAAATAATTAAAATTATTGAATTCTGACTACTACTTGTGGTATCATTTTTATAAGGAATACAACTAAGCTTTCAGTGTTGATGACGTCAACAAAGACGTCATCAATTTCGATGACGTACAACTGAGTGGACTTAACAGGATGTAGGATTAAATATGAAAAAAATATTCCCCATATAAATTATATATATAATTCTTCTGTGAGTGTGTATGTCACTGAACTTCTTTCAAACGTCTGGACCGATTTTGATGAAACTTTTTGTGTGTGTTCAAGGGGATCTGGGAATGGTTTAGATTCCCAATTTTGTCCGCTGGACAATGTTTTTTTTATTAATTTTTAATTTATTAGTAGTTGTTGATACAAACGTCTTTTTTTGACATTAGATTTGACAACTAACTAATATGTGAATCATTTTGTCGCACTTCAAACCACGGAGATTTATGGCTTTAATAGGTAAACTCCAAAAATGTAAATAAAAAAACGTAACAGATATTTCTTGATTATAGGGCGATACGAAGTTCGCCGGATCATCTAGTAAATTATATTTCTTTGTATACAAACATCCTCCTCCCACCATCTTTATTATTTGATAGGTGTAATTGTTAATTTAATTATGTTAAAAACATTTCTCTGTCTGAGCGAATAATTGAAAAGATGACGTCATAAAAAGAAATAAAGATGAATATTTAGTAGTAATGATTCAGATTGAAAAAATAGTTGTGACGGTAGATTATTCATGATTATTAAAATTAAAAAAGTATCACACCAACATATAAAAGTAATTTAACATTGGCATTACAGTTGCATTTATCGATGACTTACTCCTTAGTCCTTACACTAAAATAATAACAAGCCAAAAGTAATTTATAGTCTTATAGACATTTTGATGGCTTTTCATTATTCACATTGGCATAATAGTTGGAATCGTCTACACCTTACTATTATATAGCCATATTAAATTAATAAAAAAAACAAAAAATATTGATTAAAATCAGTATCAACTTATGAATACTATCTCTGATACTATCCTACTGATATTATGATTGCGAAAGTTTGTGAGTTGGTATGTTTGTTACTTCTTCACGCTCGAACGGCTGAATCGATTCTGATAAAATTTTATATACAGGAAGCTGACGTCCGGGAATAACACATAGGCTACTTTACATCAAGGAAATCCGCAGCTAATAATATATATATATGATAAATGATAAATACATAGCGTCTCCTTGAGGTGATGGGTGCGCCACTTCTATGAAGGCCCCGCCCCCTACGTCAACACACAGACGATCAGTGGCGCCCTCTGGCGGCTCCCAACGACCCGGCACACCTTTCAGACGATTCAGACCTATATAAAAAATATATAATAATAATATTTAGAATATCTTTGAAAATAATATCAATGGAATATATTTGTACATACTTAAATAGATAAATATAGAAAATACTGTTATCTATGTATCAGATATGAAATTCCAACAAAGTTCGTCTACATGTATTTTTTATATTAAAGTTTAAACTGTAGGTATCTTTCTATACTTGATAGGTTAAATTTAAACCAAAAAATAGCCAATAAATTCAAATAAATCTATACTACTTAATTTTAAGTTTATTCTGTATTAATATTTTTATCACCATACCCTCTTCAACATAGTTGCTCCACTCTGCGTTACTCTGCGCCAGACGCAGCGCTATATTCTGTAGTAAGTAATCAGCGGGCTTATATGGTTTGACTTCGTAGTCCCAGCCGCCTTTATCATTACGTTGGGCCTTCTCGCAAAATATATAGACATATCTGAAAGATTAAAATCACTATTTATATTTAATTATTCTTAATTATTCTAAATTTTTCTTAGTAAATGGTATATACAGGGTGACTGGTGAATTACTATCAATATTTAAGGAGAATACTCGGTACATGATTCTCATTCGAATTATGTAAAAAAAAATAGGTACTTCATTTTTGACCAAATTTCCGTATAAATAAATAAAGTGTGGACACGTTCCAAGTGTTCCAAGTGTGGACGCGTGCGGCGGCGTGCTGATACAACACCACGCCGCCACACGCGTGTGTGTGTGTATACCTAATCTGTAGGGTGTTCATACGATGCGTAATTAATTACACAACTTTTGGTTAACTTTACGTAGAAGTTTATTAATATTTATGTTATATTAATTTTTATTTAGTCATATATGATCGTCAAATATCACGTCCTCAAACATCGATAGTAATTCACCAGTCACCCTGTATATATCCTGGAACCGATCGAAATAGAAATACAGTATCCTCATTATAAGATAACTTACTCAGAATACACGGGAAGGTTAATTTAATAATATTATTAATAGTATTTAATGCGAACCATTGATAACTGATGTATGTAAACACACGGGTATTTTCCCCGTGCACGCATTACGTCCTTGTATTGACGTCATGTGGATGTAATTTGATTATAGTACAAGGTAACAATTTGGTTCAATTAGTGTTAGGAACTTTTGAACTGCCAGGTCATTGCTTGATTCGGACAATTAATGCGACTTTCGTTGTAATATACCTTAGTATTACACATACACACACACACACACACATACATATATATATATATATATATATATATATATATATATTACATACTTGTCTGGTAGATCTTGGGCTGGCGTTGATACCACTACGTCTCCAAGACGAACGTGCTTCGTGTAATCAGTGTAATGGGGAACCCCTCCCCCCACACCCACCAGCAAGACATATTCAACCTATAATAAATAATAATAACACTGGCTGATTACAATATATTATGACGCTTTTATAAAAAAAAACACTGGCTGGTTACAATATGAAACTTTTTAAGAAATAAAAAAAATAAAAAAAACGTAATTTTAAATAAAGAACAGGAATACTACACTGAAAGAAGATTACAAAAAAAAAGAAAAAAAAACATTGGCTGGTTACAATATGGAACTTTTTAAGAAATAATAAATAAAAAAACGTAATTTTAAATAAAGAACAGGAATACTACACTGAAAGAAGATTAGAAAAAAAAAGAAAAAAAACATTGGCTGGTTACAATATGGAACGTTTTAAGAAATAATAAATAAAAAAACGTAATTTTAAATAAAGAACAGGAATACTACACTGAAAGAAGATTAGAAAAAAAAAGAAAAAAAAACATTGGCTGGTTACAATATGGAACGTTTTAAGAAATAATAAATAAAAAAACGTAATTTTAAATAAAGAACAGGAATACTACACTGAAAGAAGATTAGAAAAAAAAAGAAAAAAAACACGGCCTGGTTACAATATGGAACGTGTTAAGAAAAAAATCGAAATTTTAAATAGAGAACAGGAATACCACAGTGAAAGGAGACATCTGGTCTATTTGTCTTCATAAAAATATTTCATACAATTTATGCGTTTGGCTGCGGAATGTTAAACATTGCTATGAAATATAACGAATTTATTTGTAATCCGAATTCTTTTGAAACATATTTCGGACAGAAATACTATTTTGAATTTAAATCAACGTACTTTAATGTATGGCGCCAACAAAACTAGACATTAAATCAATTCAAGGAGAACTCTATTAATATATTAATAAAATGCTACATAGTAAACGGTTTATTTCAGTTCGTACATATATAGTTGTTTTACGGCTGACCACTCGCATCTCACTGAAATCTCAAGGCCGTTTTATATGGGTTAAATCGATTTAATACTTGATATATTTAAATAAGGTTACGCTATTTTTAAATCGGACATGGTATATTGAACATTGAATATTTTTTACGTAATTATTATTATAGAATAGATAACTAATATTAGTTATATTACCTTTTGGAAGATGCCTAATAGTCTTGTTGTACTGTTCCCAGCGGCTGTCATAGCTTCCCTTGTACGTCCGACCGATGGTAATTTAGTCGTCACCACTCTATGACTACCAATCGTTCCCAATGTATATACATTTGATTCACCTAAAAAATCATTAATTATATTAACATACCGAAAATTTATAATAATTTATTAATTTGACCCTTATATGGTAAGCAACAAAACCGCTAAACGTAAAGGAAACAGTTCAAAGGACGTGATTTACTCATATATATTATTGTCATAATAAAATGAACAGCACAATTTATTTAGTCATAGGTCAATTGACACGTAAATTATATACGATCCAATACCCAATAGTGACAGTTCCGTTATAAAAAAGAAATGTTTAAAAACGTATGTTTAATATTATTATCGGTTTTATCGTTAAGTGTGTCGCAACCACTAGTCGATAAAAAAAATATTACAATCAAACTGCCTACGGACATCACTAACGGGACATTCATTTCTATAGCCGGCGAAATGTACACGGACGGGTGAGTACATAAATAATATTAAGAAACAATTATTAAAGTATCGATTAATTACAGTAGTTTAATGTAGTGAAATATTTCGATTTCGATGTTTTTTTTAATCGATATTTTTCAACGAATTAATCGAATATTCATTCAACATTGTTTTATTATTATTTAGGTTGTATATATCAATAAGAGGCAGAAAGTCTGATGAGAAATGCAATATATTGTTTACCCCATCTAAGAGGAACATCAAAGTAATATCTTGGGCTGAACACGATGTTACTTATGATTTAAACCACAGTGGGAAAGGTATGTATATATGAAAAATATATGTAATAAGTATATGTGTGTGTGTTTGTGTGTGTGTGTGAAAGTATATACATGTATTTGTTCGTATCTGTATGCTATTAAAACTGATAAAAGACTTCGACGAAACTCGTATTAAAGATGTACCTATACTGAAAGAATTATTTGACCGTTTCTTTGGTGACGTCATTAACAAAAAATTCCAACCAAACATTCGAAATATGAAATTCAAAATTCATCTATATCAAAATTGAGTCTAAAACATTGCCATTATAAAATGCTCTCCCATCTCAATAGCCATATACGTATATGCGGTTCAATATAAAATAGTTATTATTTTTCAGCACCTGTACCATTCACACTGAACATAACAGCTCGAACAGTGATAGAAAGGACTATCAACAACTTCCTGGACTTAGATTTCGAAGGAAATGACGCCGGGCCGCAATTGCTGCAACCGTGCGATATAAAAAACTTCCAAAACTTGCAGAAGATTACCATCAAAGGAATCCATCACCTTAGAGGTCTGTTGTTTGAATACGACAAACATATTTATTAGAAACTTTCAAAGATTTTCATTTAAATGAAACTAATATTTCTTGGATATGCTTTCCGCCCGCAGCTTCGCCCGCGTGGGGTTCGGTTATATCGCGTTACCAAAAGAACCTTTCAAAAGTCTGACAAAAAACTATCCTATGTTCTTTCTCAAGGTCAACTCTATGTCTGTAACAAATTTAATTAAAATCATTTCAGTGTTTTAGGCGTGAAAGCGTAACAAACAGACAGACAGAGTTACTTTCGCATTTATAATATTAGTAGGCATATCGTCTGTCTGTGATCACGGTTGCTGAAAAGTATCCGAAACGACGGTATTATATAGTTTTTTTCAAATATAAAGCACGCGTAGTTCATCCGAAAAATATTAGTTTCATTTTATTAGAAGCTATTATTAAGCTAATTAGTGATATTTTTTTATCTAGTCATTAGCTTGTATTGTGAGCGGCTGGTCCGTTTTATCGTATTTATGTTATACAATTTTTTGTTTGTTTATATAAATGTAATAAAAATATATTAATTTTGAAACATTTTGCGTACATTTCTTTTAATATTGTTTTCACAGCTGTTTCTTCGTAATATCAGACTATTTATTTCTCGTCTTCGTTTGTATGAAAGTGTGTTTCTATGTTAACTTACCACTAGTACTACTAGTTTGCTTCGTAAACTGCATACGGAGAGTATTACGTAAATTATTCATAAATCAAAATTAATTATATCATTACTAATGATTCATTAGTAATGTATGAATGAAAACTGGGAGTCACTATGCATGAAATGACGATAGAAAATTGTTCTAAGATCTCTTAAATTGCGTATATACCTTTAAACAAAATTCCTATCCCGCTATCTAAAATCTAGATGATATAATAGGCTATAATTTAAATATGTAAATAAGCCAATTATATATATTTGGAAAAGATCTTAATACTTTTTTCTATTAAAATTTCTGAGTCACACTCTTCTCGTTTTAGTCAGCGCTTTATTAATTTTTTTTACTATATCTTTCTCCATATATGTATGGCATTTACCACTGATAGTATTTTTGGAATTCCATAAGCAGTTCTTGAGATAGTTGCAAAAAGATAAACAGACAGAAACCTCTCCAACTTTACAATAAGTTTCTTATTATTAACCGAGTATCAACGGTTTTTACTTTACCTACAGAAATACTCTAATTAATCATATTAAAATATATTTTTTAAACATCCTTTGTGCGGACAATTGATTTACGTCAATTTCTTATTTAAACCTATTCCATTAAGTCACGTACTATAGACACCGTTGGTACAGTCATGCCACATATATGTGGCTAATGGAGTATTACGAAAGTTATCTAGCGATTAGTTTAACAATGCACGAAGGAGGGACTAGGCGGCATTGATATTCAATAAATTAACTGATGTAGGATGTACTAAAAGGTCAATGACCTATCTCATGAGCTACTTATGAAACCTGAATTTTATTGTAAGTACCAAAACGGAGCTGTGCATTTTTTTCAAGTAGATACGTACCGCTATATTGAATTTTTTTTTTAACTTGTATTAATTAAGACGACATATTTGACGTTCTTTTTTTAAAACTCTCGAATGCAAAATAGACTTCATTCAGTCTTACACCGTCGTGAAATAAATACATTCATTTTAAATAACAAATAAAAATCAATTGGGAAATTCTCATCACTACCTGCGCGGGAGTTCCCAAGCCTATATATTAATTATCAAAAGAACCGTAATATAAGAATTTACAAACATGTGTACTAACGTCCTAAATATCTAAGTATGGTCCTTGCGATAAAATATTATCAGGTATACCTAGTTTTAAGTGTATTTTAATCTATTTATACACAACTAAGCATCGTGCGATAGCAATTGTTAAATAGCGACGCTTGCAATCTGACGTATCAATGGATTAACTGTGCGAGCGTGTAAAAATATCTTTAAAATTCTCGAAGGCTGTATAGTAAACCAAGGTATTGTATAGTGTCCCGCGTTACGTACAAGCAGTGTTTGTTTTTCGTCATTACGTCATCACAGACAATCCGACATTCCATCTCAAACACTTCATTGATAGTTATAACTCGCTGTTAGAATCGACGTGTATAGGATTCGTATTAAAAAAATATATTGTAACATGTTAAAAACCTGTTTGGAGTGCTTATGGTAAGAATAGGAAACATCCTCATACCGACGCTCTGTCATCATATGTAAAGATATTTTTATACTATTTTTGGTGTTCCAAATAAATCGATTTAAGATTTTACGTAATATTTATGATTATAAAAAAGGTAAAAATAAGGCGTAAAGTTTTAGTGGGTCAATAGTGTTACTAATTCATAACCTTATTTGTGTCAAATTGTATATTTGGACTCGTTTACTAACTAAAGCAAATGTCAATGTCAAATTAGTTATCCGTCGTCATGGAAGGACGCGTTTCTTGTTGATTTACACAATCAGTATTTTTAAACTTAGGAAATAGAATGTGATAAAAACATCGCATAAAAAGGATTATCGAAGCGATATTGTTAGATCATAAAAATACGCTTTTGATATTACAGCATACGTGTTGAATTTTAAGTAGTTGTGTGGGTTTTTCTATACATTGTTATAAATTGAGGAAAAGTTTTATAAATTTGGATGTCAACAGCTCGAGAGAGAATAATGAAGTGTATGGAACAGTTCTGAACGGACAAGCTAGCTCGGCGTGGCCGGAATCGCATTTACAAAACGAAATAATGTTCCGCTTGCCGAGACCGCTTAATGCTAACGATGAAATAGAAATTAGTGGAAGAATGATTCCAAATCCAGAAAGGTACGTTGATTGTAAAGTGTATAGAACCAATATAAATATTGATTCATTTTATTTATAATATATATATTACAATAGTGTGCTCTATAAATTGTTGCTAAGTAACTGCATATGAACATCAACTCACATTATTTACAGGCTTTTTCTCAATCTAATGACTGGAACAAATGTTCCTGATTATCACAACATTGCTTGTCAAGTTGAAGCAAGTTTCTCAGTACAGAATATATTCTTAAGATGTATAGAAAATGGCAACAAATATGAAGAAGTTTTAGATCAATACCCAGCTGATTTATTTCCAGGTAAATTATACATAAATAGTTGATATAATTTTCAAATTATATTCTTATTGATTATTAAATTAATACATTATACTGGCCTTGTAAATATATTGCCATACTAAGAATAAAAAAAGTATTAATTATTTTCTTAACTATTTTTTTGTTACATGCCAGTATTAAAAGTACTTTCAGAGCATTAGTAGTGTGTTATAGGTACAGACCTAACTATTAGTATACCACTTGAATTATTGCTTTACATTAGCAATCTATAAACATCTTAAGATTTTATCATTCCATTACAGATTCAGAATTCAAATTTATCATCAAAGTAAGAGTGAACGGCAGCCAAATATTGGATATAGATATCGGAGAATCATATGCTGGGAGCTTGGAATTAAAACACAATTTACGTGACATAACATTCTTGTCTCTAAGCAACGATATAACTAAAGTCGATGAATTAAAGTTTAGATTTGCTTAGGCATTCTAATCTTGACCTTTTATTATAAATGATCAATTGTTTTGTATTTGATAATACTAAATTTCTTGCACTATGCATAATGTGATTAACAAAATTATATGTCTGTAATGTAACTCTTAATCAGTATTTGATATGGAATCTTAAAGCATTGCCAGATTATTTATTTTTATTTTTAAGATGTATTGTAAGATAGAATCCCACCCACATAATAATTATTTGTAATGTTGTTATGAATAAATCTATTAAATATATTATTATTTTATTCATGATTCTGACACATTTCCATATTCCTTGATCTAATTAGGCTTAATTCAAACTAGACATATAAAATCATATGGCTTTGAACAGAATTTAAAAAAAAAATTTCTTTATATTTAATATAGAAAATGGTTTTGCCTAAGGATGAAGAAATATAATCTTTTTATATATTAAGTGTACTAACAGAATATAAAAACTAATTAAAATATAACTCAATTGTAAGTATTGCCAATTCATTCAAACTACAAGTAAAGATTTTAAATTACTCTTAATTTCATGCCATAAACTTTCCCATATTTGTTTGAAGCCCATAAGAATTATTCAGGGTCAAGTCAATTTACTTAAACCTTATATAGATGTTTCTAATTTGTATATTTATATATAAAGTTATGTATAAATACTTACCCACGGTTGTGTAACGGACATATGTTTCCTGATTATCCATCATAGCATCAACGGCTTGTTTCTCACAGTACAGGGCTGTGACTATCGCGATTGTTGGCTGTCGGGCTGAGCTCAGAGTTGGCATTTGTTTCACAACCTGAACATAATTACATTGTTACTTATATATAACCTACTTTCTTCCCACAGCTTCGCCCGCGTGGAGTTCGGTTATATAGCGTTTCCAAGAGAACTTTTCAAAAAATTAAGATAAAAACTATCCTGTTCTTTCTCAAGGTCAACTCAATAAAAACTATCCTGTTCTTTCTCAAGGTCTCTGTACCAAATTTCTTTAAAATCAGTTCAGTGGTTTGGCATGAAAGCGTAACAGACAGACATACAGAGTTACTTTTGCATTTATAATATTAGTAGGGATGTTTTTGTAGGTTTTGTCTGTTAAAAAATTCGACCTTGATGTATATAGGGTAAGAAATATTTGTACAAATATATAACAAGCTAAAAATTTTAGTTTGTTTGTTACTTCTTAACACTATTGATGGGACAAATGTTAATAAAATTAGGTATGCAGGAAACGAAAGCCATGAATAAAGAATTCTTTAAATATTTTCCTGCTCAATCAAACTAAAAACGAGTGAACTTTGAAAAAAGAATTATTTAAAGGCGTGGATCGCGCCTAGTGGTTATAAACATAATTAAATTTGAAATTTCTTTTAGTCATTTACAGATACAAAAATATGTCTATACTTAAAGAACCTGGCATTTTATTCACATCATGAAATAACAAAAATACCTCTCACTTATATCTGACGAAAATGCATCTTAAATATGTATTGTGCGAAAAAAACAACAATCAGATGACTAAGATTCCAAAACAAATAGATTTTATTTACCTATTGTTAGTAAACTCACTTGGTTTGCATTAAAATGAAAAGATTGCTTCAACAAGCCTTACCACCTAATACAATTGAAAGATAATAATCCTGCCTTGTTTTTAGCTCAATAAAATTAATATAAAAGATTTATTATAAAAAAATGCTTTATAGTGGTGTGATCAATTGAAGATATGTTATAGAAGTGGTAGATATTTATAATTATTTACGATTTAATAAAAAAATTAGTTTCCAACTCAAAATGTATAGTGCCATATAGATAAATATATTTTGGAATTCATATTGTTAGGTCCATATTTTTAGACACTATTTTCTTGTAAAAGATTTTAATTTCAAACTTTTTTCAACTATTTCATTTGACAACAACTAATAAAGTATCAAGAATCGAATCTGCAAGTTTAAACTTATATTTCTTGTATGAAAATTTAATATGCCACAGATAGACTCTTAGAATTAGTGCTAGGATACTAGCTTATACATGCCGAGAGCATATCATTAATTACCATATTTTATTTGATTATAAAATATTCAATAGCAATTAATTAAAACCACATTTATTTCTTACTTCATTAATATTGCACACAGTTACTGAATGATTTCACTAGTGATGTGCCTGATATCAGTATCGATAATTGTTACGTGTTTTTTTACATTATCGAATCTACACAATAATATAGACGAAGTCCTATATTTCAGCTACTAAGCAAGTAAAAAATCTAGTTAATGAATAGGAACTAGGGAACTGTGTTTGAGGTCTATAGATGGAAGCGAAAACTTCTATTTTAAAAGCAAAAAGATGAATATAACATTCTAAAAAATAAGTGCCTATTAGATCTGAATGATTTTATATACTATGGCACTTTGTATGTATTTACATAATATATTAATATGTATATCTGATAGGTATCTAATATTTTCGAAAGTACACACTTAAATGAATATAATGTATCCGAAAATCACAGTGTTTTTCAGAAAATGTCATTGTACAAAACACAAAAGTAATTTAAGTAGATAATATTACAAATAATAATATGTACTAAAATGACCTTACAGCTAATGATATATACTATTATCCCGTAATGTTGTAACATTATAACGAGTGACCGATTTAGGAAAATCGAATTTGTTTTTTATTATTCAAAAATACGATAAAAATGTTTTACCGCGCAAAGCATTAAGTGACGTCATCACTCATTTGTCAAACAAATCAAAGTCAAATCTATATCCGGAAAGTTTGTCAAGAAATATCGATACCTTAACCATCCCTAAACAGTAATCGACACAAGTTATTACCTTGTAATGAATATTTATATACCTGAGTGTCGATGCTGTGTTGTCTAACGTACACTCCGTCAGACATGAGACGAGTTAGACCCTTCTCCTCCAACGACTCCAACGCGTCCTTGACATCCGCCTTCGACCATTTGCCGGCACTAAAAATTATTGTTATAATATGAGAATTATATAAACACTAGCTTTCCGCCCGCAGCTTCGCCCGCGTGGAGTTCGGTTATATCGCGTTTCCAAGAGAACCTTTCAAAAGTCTTGGATAAAAAGTATCCTATGTTCTTTATCAAGGTCAACTTCATTTCTGCACCAATTTTCATTAAAATCCGTTCAGTGGTTTAGGCGTGAAAGCGTGACAGACAGACAAAGTCGCTTTCGCATTTATAATATTAAGTAGGGATTCTCGTATCGCGGTGTTAGACAGAGAACTCCTCCGAAACAGCTGGACGGATTTTGATGAAATTTTGTGAACATATTGAGTAGGTCTGAGAATCGGCCAACATCTTTTTTTCATACCCCTAAGCCATAAGGGTTGTTTGCTCTTAATTTTTTTAATTTTTATTTCGGAAGAAATTTTTTGTTTTTATTTTTTTATGATGTAGTATTAAAAATATATAAACCCAAAATTTTTACTTTTTCATCACCAACCCCTATCTTTTTTGGCGAAACAACGTTTGCCGGTTCAGCTAGTATATATACAAATATTTTGAACATAACAAAGGTGTAACAAAAAGCGTCAAGTGGGAGACGTATTTAAGATTTATTACAATTGTGTTGCCAGTATTTATTGACGCTAATTAAAAAAGTGGCAGTATATTGGTATACAATTACTCTATTTAATGAGGTTAAATTACAAGCTCATATTTAGAGTAATTTATTAGAGGCTTTTTATATTTATTAATGGCCTGGCATAAGTTATACCTTGTGTAACAATTTCATAGCATAACAATATATCTTTTTGAAATTTTAAATAAATCTACTTACGCAACAAAGTGATCAACGGACAATGGGTTTGGATATGCATTTTCTATCATATCAAGAACTCTCTGCTCGGATATTAATGTTTGATTTGCATGATTGTCTTCAATGAAAGCTGAAAATATATACATAATTAATCTTTTTAAACTAAAATAGTTTTTATTGAATCTAAACACACAAAAAGGGGTATTTAGCATAACTACGACAAGACATGAAAGTACTGTTTGTATGGAATCTATAGTGGGAACTATTTTATTGTGTGTTTTATTAGTATTGCAACACTTCCAAACTATTAAATGAGGTATTGATATTTTAAATGAAATTTACAATGAAGTGTAAAATATTTCAACAAAGTGCAGTAATGGGATTACAGTTAACTATTTAAAAACAAATTTTAAAAAGGAGTTAAAAATGTATTTTAACTTATTGGTGTGGGTTAAATCTGTTTATAAGGTTCAAATTGATATAAAAATCATGCTAGGAAATTTTTTATGACTATTTACAGTAGCCTTATAGTAAGTTGTACTATTGAAAATAGTCACTGAAGTATATATTAATAATTGGAATTAAAGTTTTAACTGTAAAAGTTGTTCTTTGAATATGAATTTATAAAGTGAAGTGAATGTGATCACCACAACATGCTTAAATACAAGTGATATACATACAACCGTTACAGTACTTGTATATAATTGTCTTACTCGTTATTTCACCGTTTGCTTCTGTGGCATAAAATTAAAAATATCTGTATCAAAATATATTACTTATAATAAATATTAATAATATTTAAACATTTTCTTTTATATGTTAAATGTATATTAGTTTCATACCTGGAGGCGGATCGCATGCACCTTCTTGTCGGAGTTCAATTTCTAGAAGCTTCAACTTGTGATACTTATTTTGCATCAATTTAATGATCTTCTTGATAAACCCGACATAATCTGGAATGCATAAAACAATACTAAAGATTTGATACAATACCACAAATAATATTATGTAAAAAGATTGTGTATTTGGTACTTTAAGTTTAAATTAATAAAAATTTGTGTCTAAATTAATAAAGCATAACAGTAAATTTAATTTAACAAAGTTACAATCTTTTGGAAAGTCTTGTGGACTGACTCACAAACTAACTCTCAAACTAACAATATGCATAAAGCTTGTGCATTTAAGTTTAAATAAATAAGAATTTGTGACCTATGAGCTAAAATCGGAGAGTAAATTAATTTTAACAATAATCCTACCTTTCGGAAAGTCCTGTGGACTGACTAACTCTCGGAAGAATGCTTGTGCTTCATGAGCACAATCATCAAGAGACAGCTCAGGTTTGAACCAGAACTTCAAACCTCTCGCTTCACGTGTGTGGCTACCAGTGTTCGCTGACACCAGATACACACTGAACTCTAGCTGTGCCTGACATGGTTCAGTTACACCATTTTCTATATTAAGAAACATATATTTATGTAGTGTAATAAGTAGTATGTAAGTCAGATGTATAAATATTAACATCGTTGCATTGATTATTCAGTAATAAATCATCTTCTACCAAACACACTTGTTTCAATAACATAAGTCCCCTCATTTATATATTACATTTAATACAAAAATTACCTATAAATGCTTGTTAAAATTCTAATAAAAACTTATGTTATCTTGAATGGTAACGCGAAATAATTATGATATATATTTTACCGTAAACTTTTTCCTTGTTTATTATTATTCCTGTATGGTCACCACCAGCCACATGTATTTTATCACTTGGCTCTGCTTCCGCTATTTTTCTCTCTACTATTAATACTGTAGAATTAGCTGTTTTGCTCTTAGGAGTCATTATCACTTTTTCTTCGACCTCTGCCATTTTTGAGATGTTATGATGTCAACTTATGTTACTAATCCCTGTAAGTAAATGATGACTCATGAATCAGTCCTTTTTTAAACCTTAGCGTATGACAGCACCGCAACCTACTTCGAAGCACAAGGTTGACACTTGCTAACCTTCTAACTTGAATCACTTGTTAGATCAATTGCTCGCGAAATCAAAAAAAGGGCGGGTTTGATAAACATAACAATTACATCGGTCTCTATTGACCTATAGTAATATGACAAAGTTTTTATAATAATACCTTGTATATCCAGAGAAAAAATTGCACTTCTTCAATTAAAACAAAATCCAAAACAAAGAAAAACAATATTTATTATTCGTCAGACTGCAAATATAATGTCAACAGCCAAGTGAAGTTGACTTCACAGTTCACGACACTGATTAATGTAGTATGATGGTCGTTAGGAGAAAAACGACAAAACTATCAACAGAATATTTAATTTTAAGGGTTCTTAATAGGATATAATATTTTATGTTGCATATTTATATATTTATAATAATTATTGATATAGAATTTTATATTGTTAAAATTTATTTAATAAGACAAAAAAAAAAATATAGAAAAAGAATATTCGTATTTGTATTTACAAACGACGGATTTATAAATAAATGGATGAAATTCTAAACAGTACAAATTAAAATACTATTACTTTTTAATTTTTCATTAAAATATATATTTTTTAATTGTATGTTTATAAAGTATAAAGATTAAGTAAATGTAAAGTAAGTTAGTGGTGGCCTAGTGGTTGAAAGGCCCGCCTTTCTTGCACGAGGGCGCGGGTTCGATCCTGGCCCGGGCAAGTACCAATGTGATTTTTCCGAATCATATGTACTTTCTAAAAAGTATTTAGACATCACTGGTTAATGTTGATTCTCAAAAGAGGGTTGATGTCAGGCAGGCGGCCGGTCGTAAAAGCAAATAGTCAAAACTATTCACAACATGTAAGGCAGACCCTGGCTATAGCTGGGAAATTGCCAGGTAGAAGAAGATAAAGTATAAAGATTCTATATTAGAATTAATTTTGCAGTAAACAAAATTGTTATCCCATATAAATGGTTGAAATGTGCAACGAACTACAATAATATATTATCTGTATTGTCTTCTTAAACGTAAAGGTGCATTGACTTGTCAAAGTCATATCTATTGCCATTCGGCATCAAGCATATTACTTTCCTATGATCATGTCACAAAGTTGCGGTTTAAATTATTGTTAAAAATATTTATCGTATATATCTAGTTATTAGTTTTATTCTTTACTGATTGATGTAGATCAATCTTTTTAATTTGATATATTTATGAATGATCTATAAAATAAAACAACCTCTTTAAAATGCATCGAAATATTTTTGGTTTCATACTATTATTATTAGTTATAAAAGTTCAAAGTCAAAGTTTACAAATTGTAAGCGACGACGATTTATTACAATTTATCAAAGAAGAAGAGAAACTTATTGTGTTATTTTGTATGTATAATTTTTTTACAGTTATTTAAAACACCCATAAATGTTTCACGAGATTAATCGGAATACATTTTGAAATTTTTATTTTCAGCTAAGCCAAATTGTGATATATGTAATAAGTTTGAAGAGACATTGCATGGATTGTATGAAGATTTCAATAAACACATGAATGCACCTATTATACAAGTAGTGAACAGTCACTTAGCCAAGTTATACAGCCCCACAAAAGAGCCTGCGGTCGTTTTCTTCAGACATGGTGTTCCCTTACTTTATAATGGTATTATTTGACTTTATTTAATACTATGTTAGATATATAAATACTATATAAATTGACTTTATTTCTTTATTTTATATAAATACTATATTGGATTACCAATATTTCCTCATTACACTCAGTTATGTATTAAAACCTGGTAGTATCAACTAAAATATAATAAAACTTTTAGGTGAACCAGACGAAAATGATATATATGGCTTCTTTGAAAAGAATCAGTCTCCGGCGGTAAAAGAATTAACTGATAAAATATTTGAACACATGACACAGGCGGCTACAGGATCCACAACGGGAGACTGGTTTGTTATGTTGTAAGTGATCAAAATATATATTGAGTTTTCTCTTATACATATTGCAAGTCCTCATAATGTTGTTAAGTGACCTGGTGAACAACTGTAATAGTTAGTAGCCTATTAATATGAATACTTAACATTATAGAATTGTTTCTTATTGACTTGATCTAAATAGCTTATTTACTAGTTGTCTGCTAAAATGTAGTTAAATTCTGCTATTTAATTTCTCCACCCATATTTTACCATTGGATACCCAAAAGGATGGTAAATCTCCAATCTTTCCTTGCATCAGGACAAAGGGATTATTTTCCTCCTGTCTCTAGCAAATTGTATTTAACTATTTATATGCATGTCTTTCCTTCCCAATATAATTTTGGTGTCTTCAAAGGTAGAGTGAATAAGCTGTTACACTTATCAATGGTTGGAATGCCAGGCTAGCCCTATCCCATCTTTATAATGAATTATAATTATAGTTATAAATATGATGCAGATGTAAGGTTTTCAAGATTCCAAATATTAATGTAACATATGTGATATTGTAGCTTTTTACCATTACCTTAAAAAAATATTCAAAAGCTTTGTTTTTAAGATACTGGCAATATAAACTTAATTCAAAACTTGTACTAATTCAGGCTTTAAATTTTAGAAAGATAAATTACTTTTCTGATAATAATTTTATACATAAAAAAATATGAATGTGTAAAAGTTTCAAATATAAGAAAATGAATGTTATTTTTTAAAGATTTGTAAGTCTCAAAATTGACAACAAATATTGGTCATGGTTATCTCTTGTTTCTTGAAAAAGAATTTAGTATTTTAATAAATAGTCTAATCGCACATAAAGTGCTGGGTCCACTAAACTTCATTAAAGATGTGTTTAAATTATATGATAAATACCTCAATTATTACTGAATGCTTGTGAAATAAAGTAATTTGTTTTTCTTCCCAGTTATGGTGCTTCTTGTGTTGAATGTCAACGACTGCATGCAGTGTGGGAAGGAGTGGGGGCTACAGTTCGTGGCAGAATTAATGTAGCAAGGGTTGATGCAAACCTGGCCGGTGCAGACACTGCTAAACGTTTTAAGGTCAAAAAACTACCAACATTCCTCTTGTAAGTTTTGATTCATTCCCATATAAATATGATTAACTTTCACAAATATTTTGAAATTTTTACTGTAAATGTAATTTTCTTATATTTATTTATTATAGCTTCCGTCTTGGAAAAGTTTATCGTTATGATTTACCGAAACATGATATTAAATCATTTGTGTCATTTGCGCAAGACTGGTACAAGAACTCCAAAGGGGAACCAGTGCCGCTACTTTCATCTCCATTGTGAGTATACTATATTTTAACTAGTAATTATTAAGACGAAACTACTAAGCATTCCATGGATTCACCGTGCGGGTGCCGGGTCCATCGCGTTGCAGGGAGAGGAGCTTCAACAGTGCCTGGGACTTGCGACCCAAGTGTAGGTTTAAGGGGCCCCTTAACTAACGCGCGTTATACGCTCACCTCCACTGTCCAAGCTCCTCTCCCTACCTAACCAAATTTGAAAAGAACCTTCTAGGGCTGCCTTCGATATACGTTCCAAGAATGCATTAATGTGAGTTCTGGACAAGCCCAAGTCCTTTAGTAGGTTGTAGAGAGATTTCGCTGTTATACCTCTCGCTCCCACCTCTACCGCGTACAAATCTACTACGAACCTATTTCGAGTGAGTTCGTTTGTGAGCTCGTAATATTTGTTGACCTTGATGGTATGGTCTTTGGGGATGTTGGTTTCCCAAGGGACCGTAAGCTCTATCATCACTACGCGCTTTAAAATTCGCGAAAACAAAAATATATCCGGTCTGGAGGCCGACGCACAAATATCCTCGGGGATTTTATATTGCTTTTCATACGTGTCCATCATTATAGTCCAATCCGACGCCGCTTTAAGGATGGAGTAAGGCTTGACGTTTGATTTTGTAGCCCTAGTGCCTTCTCTCACAAAACCTACTGATCGTTCGTTTGTGGTTATTTCCTTTTGCGCTCTGGCTACCGAAAGACTAACCGCTTCACGTATGACTTCTAGAACCCTATCGTGACGACGCGAGTATTGACCGCTGTCCAGGAGTACCTTACATCCCACCAGCAGATGCTTAGCAGTTCCAACTGCCTTTCCACAGATATAGCAAGTTTTTTCGGTACTTTTACCCCATCTTACTAAATTACTCTGATCTGGGAGAGTCATCTGGAACGCATTGAGATAGAATTTTAACAATGCTGGCGACCAATCATAAATTAAAGTGCGCCATTTTAATGCTAATGGGATGCAAAAATCTCCTATGTCTAACCACTCGTTCTGCATTTCTAAATTCATTGCATGGATCTTATATTTATCATTCTCGTCTTGCCGAATAAAAGACTTCAATATATCCGCATCTTGGACTTTCCTATTTGATCCTAACCCCGTTCTGTTACTTTGTGCTCCTATCATAAATTGCTTATGGAATTGAAGTCGTGACTCTAGCTCGGGGGCATCTTCATCTTTTGGGAGCGATGTCACTATGTCATCATGGGATTTCCCCAGGATATATCTCTTGGAAACTCTTAGGTGTTTATAGAGCTCCGATGGCCTTTTTAGACTCATCCCAAAACTATTGCTTCCCCTAAATAACGCCGATGAATCAGCCGTCAGAGCGAGCCCGAGCCACAACTTCAACATCTTTATGACGCCTGCATCTAACTTTGACAAAAGGGTTTTATTAAAATCATAGACGAGGAAAGGCCAATTCAAACGTGAAGTTAAGTAATTCTCGTAGATCCACGCTTTTTTGACGTTACTTATCAGTTGGCTATCTACCTTGTTAAGATCGTTCAAAAAGCTATCTACTATTCCTTCTAAAGATGGAGTACGGCCTATATTATCAATCTTACAACCGAGAAATTTAAATGGTGCATTTTCCGTAACCGTAGAAATGTATTGACCGCCTAACGATAGTCCCGGATCGTATGAGGTGTATCTTGTATTCCGCCTACCAAGACGCAGACAATGACATTTACTGGGTTTTGTCCTCAATCCATCCGTCCACTCACAGAATTTATCCACTTCATCCAATAGTACTTGACAGTGTTTGGGGTTACGTGTCAGTATTGCGAGATCGTCAGCGAAGGCTAAAATGGATTCCGTGTATTTATTATTAAACTTAAACCGATAACCCCATTTTTTCTCGTTACAGATTAATTTTTCTACTAAGATGTTAATAACGATATTAAACGTAATTGGAGATAGACAACAACCTTGAAACAGTCCTACATTATAACTCAAACTTTTTGAAAGGGCCTTCTTTAGTTATTATAGAAAACCTTAATTTTGAGTAATACGACGCGATCATATCTCTAACTAGGGGTGGAAAGTTGTACCATCTAAGCGCGAAAAGCATCAATTCGTGTTGTATCGACCCGAACGCGTTCTCCAAGTCTATCCAACAAACAGTGATTTGCCGCTCGCTTCTTCTGGCATCTTTCAAACTCTCCGACAGCAAGGTGTTGTGTTCTAGGCATCCAGAAATCCCGGTTAAAAACCTATTGATTTGGCCTAAAATAGTTAATAATATCTTAAAAAATGTTAGGTATAAAATAAAAGACTTGTGCATATTCTTTCATATATTTTTTTAGTGTATAGGACAATGAGGCCAGTTTTATGGTTTTTATATAATTTTTCTGTGTTAATTAGTATTATATCTAGGAAAATAGTCTCATAAAATTAATATACAATATTTTTATTTCAGTGATGAGTTGGTTGATTGGTGTGTGGATATGATAAGATATTCAATTTCATTTGGTCTGGAAGTACTTAAAGAACATCCTTGGATATGGCAAATAGGTATCGCAGGATTCGGACTTGTGCTAATCACTGCTCTCATAGCCATAATAAAAGCTGGAAAATCAAAACCCAAGACAATCAAGAAAGAAAAGAAAAGCAAATAGTTTGTGCTTAGAAACTTTATTTATAAATAACAAGCCATACAGTGGTAACTGATAAAAAATATGCTTTTGTAAAACAGGTTAGAAGTAAAAGATTTGTGTCCGTCCATATTAAATACATTCCCAATATATAATAATGGACAATTAATATATTATTTAAATACATGTATCTATCATTATTTATATTTTTATACAAACAAATTTTATTTTCCTATACATGATAAATAATTTCATTAAGACAATAAAAATCTCTTTGATAACTGAAGTTTTTTATTACATGTACACAACATCAATTGAAAGTGTATAAGTGCTAGCCTTATAAGTAAAACACAGTTCAATATACATGTGTAAACAGATACTCAGTATATAATGAGGCATAAGACGTAGGAGAACACATCCATATATTTTAGAAATATAAGGCAGTGCATAGTGCAATATAGTTTGCATGAGTAACTACTAAAATAAATAATAAACACCAATTTTTCTAACTTCATAATAAAAATTTGCTATTACAATACTTGTCATGTTGTTAAAATTAGTGCTAAAAGTTTAACTAAGTCATATAGTGTCAACTTCGACATTTATTCTGAACACTGAAGCAGGATCAGCCAGTTCTGTCCGAATAGCATTCTCAAACTTCTTGAAAATCATAGAAAACTCCATAATATTCTCTGGTTTTGACGCAATCCAGAGTTTATCAAATTCATAAAAGAGATAGCAATAAAATTTGTGGAACAAACTGATGTCAGGTAGATGCGGTTTAGAGTTAAACATATATGTCTTAGCCGATCCGTCCTTCAAAAGATAATATGCCATAGAAGTCAAATTTATACCGACGATAGCATATGTGTAACCATACTTCGGATGTCTTGAATGACTCAAAACATGAGTCGCTACTTGAGGATATTCAGTCGCAAAATATAATAAATTTTCTAGTCCTAAGAGTCCCATTCCTCTGAAGTCAGTTTTTGGATCATCTCCCTAACAAAAATAACAGATTTAATACGGTTAAAACATATGGAACAACTTTAAACTTACATTTGAATTATATTTAACATACCTGAAATCCAATATATTGCCAGTCTTTTGATACCCTTGCCTCCAATGGTTTATCAGGCACCATGAGGTCCCATAAATTTAGCAGCTTCTCCTCATGACTTGTGTTATTACTATCAAATTGTGTACAACGTAAATCTTCAACTTCCTCAATCAATTGCCGATAACACCATATTTGTTGTAAGCATAAACGAAATGATGGTATAAAAGCATCATGAATTTTACGATTAATTTTTTTCACTCTAATTATAATATTGATAGAGGGCTCTAAGAATTGGTGAAAGTTGGATGGAATAAATCTTCGTTCTTTCACCACTGCATCCAAAAATGTTACTACTTCTTTAACATCTTTCGTCCGTGATAACATAAGAGAATTTTCAATGTTACATGTCCTTTGAGTTCCTACTCTATCACCATAACAAATTCTTTGAAGTTCACATAATTTTGTAGTTTTACGAAGGAACCATTTAATAAAGGGTCGAAAATACCACTGTAACACTGAATACAGATGAAAAAATACCATTTCTATAATATTCATATATATCTTATAAGAATATCAATATTTAGTCTTATTTATTATAAGCTCCGTTTCATAGTTTAGTAAACATTATTGATCCGAATTAAAATTTCATGATTTTCACTATAATTCGACCTCACAAGGTTAACAGGGTTCAAACTTCAGAACATCACTGTTAAAATAACAATTAAAATCTTTTATTTGTAATTTAATGATAAAAGTGCAGGAATTCGAACTTTTCAATGATAAGCAATTTTTTTCTAATGTTTGTCCGGGTTTCTAGTTTTCTATACATGACATTGTAATATTTTTGAGTTGGAATTTCTATCAAAAAGTACTATGTTAATGTTTTATCTACATTTAAGTATTTTTTACTTATATATTATCTGAAATAGTAAAATATTCCTCTTTTTACGGTAATAATCGTTACCGCTAAATTAGGACTAAACGAATTATTGAATTCCAAAAAACATATTAATTAATTGAATAACATATTAATAAAAGTGTCACTGAGAATAATTATGCACCAATGTTATTTTTCAATTATTATTACGGTTTTTTTAAACTATGTAACTACAACAAACAATACATTTTACAAAAATAATCTAATCGGGTAACCCTGACATGGTAATCAATTTTGTCACCTTCATTTTATACATATTTAAATTCATAGGTTTGTACAGTTAACTGTAAAATTTTATAAATGTTTATTTTTGGAATGAGTTTTGATTCCTGAGCACTTATGAAACCTAAGTTAAATTTCTTCTATTTAATGTATGTAATTTCGGATAGAGATACTATCTAATTATTTCAGTTATGCAGTACCTACTTAGAAACATAAATTGCGGAAAGAATATCCTACCTTAAACATATTTAAATCGATTTTCCTAATTCCTAATTGTGACATCATCATGTTCTGTTGTCACTTTGTTACCATTCGAGTTAAGTATAGCTTTTATAATTAACTAGCTTTCCGCCCGCAGCTTCGCCGCGTGGAGTTCGGTTATATCACGTTTCCAAGAGAACCTTTCAAAAGTCTGGGATAAAAACTATCCTATGTTCTTTCTCAAGGTCAACTCTATCTCTGTACCGAATTTCATTAAAATCAGTTCAGTGGTTTAGGCGTGAAAGCGTAGCAGACAGACAGACAGACAGACAGACAGAGTTACTTTCGCATTTATAATATTAGTAGGGATATTCGAGAAAATCATATCGTGTTTTATTCTTTAAATAAATATTATTATTTAATTGAGAATGCTATTCAGGTTTTCGTTTAAAACATGTAGTAATTTTACTGTCTACAAGCAAAAGTTTTCTCTTTGAGCACCTTGGACACAAAAAATAAAGCATTTTGAAAATAAATGTTTCTTATTAAAGTATTTAAAATAGTATATAATAAAATGATACTATACAATAATAATCCAGGTTTATATAAAAATTTAATTACTGTTAGAAAATTGTTCGGACCGACAAGTAACATAATATTTTATAACAAATCTCTTTTCTGGGAGTAGGTCAGATACTAATATGACTTGGTACTAGTTCTGTAATCGTACTGGTATAATTTATAAACACTCCTTATAATACTCTCCTCAAAAGAGTTAAAAGAATTAGGGACCTTTGCGGTTACATAATTTTTGTTTCTTGTTTTGTTTATATTGGGTCTTATTATTATTTTTGAGTTTAAACATGCAAAATATATTTCGGACCTAATAATATTTTTTCGTGCTTCTTTAGAGATGTTTGATTTTAATATTACCCCTCACTATTTTTGGACTAATTTCATGCTTATTGTCCCAGTCCCCGTTCATAGACGTGTGTCATTTTTGCTATGTGGAAGGGATGTCTGTTCTTTTGTCTTTCAGTCTCTATTTTTTTGCTTTGGACGTTATACTATTTCAGAAAATTATAACGAAAACCTGTCCGCTTATTTCACAAATTTAGACCGCTATAACGTCTGGCGGCTAGAGTTCTGTTCCTATTGTGATGTTAGAATAGCGGTATTCCTTAAGAACACAATTGGCATTGTGGCAGTGTTAAATACCATGTCCTTAGTTTTATACCAAAACCTGGGCCCTCTGTTATCTTTTCTCAGTCAACGTTATATAAAAACTTTTAACAGCATATTGTCCGATCACACCTGATCAATCGTTGTTACTTGGCATTACAACAAACCTTAATTTCCACAGAAGCCAATGATACTATTAAATTTTCTTGAAAGAGTTTTCTGTCATGTAAACTCAAGCAACTGTAATACTTTTATGAGCAGTGATGGAAGAAGCCGCGGTGATGATGCGGCATAGAGGCTCGAAAGTAATTTATTTTTAAGATAACGATGCATCTGGTGATAAAAACAATGTTGCGAATTCGTTATGATTCATATTTTAATGACCTTGGGTTTGGAAAGTTTGGGATTACTATTTCTCAATTACCCGAGTTAGGAATATTTCAGTTTCTTCATATTTTCCATTTCGATGATCAAGGTTGTTAACAAGGACGGCGTAGAAAAAATAGAAACGGTTGCCTTTAGTAACTTTATTTGTATCTGCAGATAGATTTTATTTTTGTATTGCGGTTAAAAAGTGCCTATTTTATTGTTAATCCTAATAAGTTATAGAATTTCTTCTTCTTCTTCTACCTGGCAATTTTCCCAGCTATAGCCAGGGTCTGCCTTTCATGTTGTGAATAGTTTTTGGCTATTTGTTTTTACGACCGGCCGCCTGCCTGACATCAACCCTCTTTTGGGAATCAACATTAATCAGTGAGGTCTAAATTCTCTTAGAAAGTACATATGATTCGGAAAAATCACATTGGTACTTGCCCGGGTCAGGATCGACCCGCGCTCTCGGCGACGAGAGGCGAGCCCTTTAACCACTGAGCCACCACTGACTGTTATCACAATATATAATATATACATATAGAATTTATCACAATATATAATATATACATATGTTGAAGTTATCATAGTGTATGCCAATCGTGAATCGTGGTTTTCAAAGAATAAAACGTCAGGATAACTGAAGTCTTGTTCTTGCTTATCGTCAGGCTGTCGGGCTATTGAAAGTAACCTTATAGACGGTTTCACGAATCCCTTATTTCGAAGTGGTCGGGTCACTGTAACGGCTCGAGCGAGACGCTTTTTTTAAAGTTTCTTCTTCTTTAGTTAGTGGCGTTTCCTTATAGATTTCGCCAATGTCGTGTTTTATTAAGTTTCGTATTGACAGTTCCTGTCAACCCTAATGGCTTTGATAGCGTCACCGGGAGGAGTAGGTGGTCCGATTGGAACAACACTATTTCATTCGGGCCCGACGCAACGGGGGAATTTTTAAATGTGTACTCTTTCCTCTATTTACACTAACAAACACTCGTTGTTGTAACTGCTCTTGCACAGGTGGTTATGCAGGTGACATTAGATAATTTTAATTACCCTGTATACATAAATTGTACAAAGCCTACACTCCATTTCAGACCACATAATTGAATAAAATGTAAGTTTTTCATCTGCACATGATATTAAGGTGCAATCGATGAAATGGATGTTATTCACTTTTATAACTCATAATACTGCTGCTTCCAAAAAACTGCCTAGGCTTACATCTTAGGCTTGGAAGTCCATCGCTTACATAATTACGTTCCTTAGCAAACTAAGTCTAATATTGTCCACTTTATAGTTTATCTTTGTTACCTTTTATTTACATGTCAACTAGTGTTTTGAGTATCGTAAAGGTAACAATGCATTTTATAAGGGTCAGCTATATAGTAATAAGGACTCTTTATCTTTATTTTGTTTTGTGTTTTCCAAGTTATTATTACATAAACTTAAAGTATATATCCACAAGGATAATTAGTAAAATAAATAATAATGAGATCTAAGACTTCCGCGAGTACTCATTTATTTGCAAAAATAAAAAATCGCGTAGTAAATCCGAAAATATTAGTTTCATTTAAAATAAATAATTTTAACAATGACAAATAAGATAATATATTCGATCTACTTTTTACGACAAAAAGCCTCTAAGACTTGAGGTAGGTATTAAAATTTCAAACTCATTTGTACTCTTAACAATTCCTACATTCATTTATCTACCAACAGCTATAGTGCGTTTGATTTAGGCTGAGCTTTGCATTTGTGTGGAGTGTACACGGATAGGGTAGATACTGAAAACGCAATGTCAAGTGAAGAAGAATTTGTATAGTTTTTCAAAATTTTTATAAATATTTTTTTTTAAATTTTCTTTATATTTCCATCTGGCCTTTTACAAGTTTTGCTTATTTTATGGCACTTATGTTGTGTATCTATTTAAAATATAATAAAATTTAATTCTAAAAGTTTCTTGTCTAACTCTACTTTTACTTTCACTCACACAAATGCAAAGCTCAGCTTAAGTCTAATATACCATAATATCAAAAACATTCGTTTCTCTTAAAAGAGAAAATAAATTCTTTGTAACCGTCTTAATGTCATAGGGATGGCAAAGTCAATAATAAAAGTCATTATTAGTCCGAAATTGTGTTTTTACTTACTTTGAAAATTGTAATCATAAATACTATAATAAAATTATTTACAATGCAACATACAATTTGACATCCAGTCATCATTATTTACACAAGGCGATGCGTGAATAGCAATTTTACCTTTATCAATTATAAGTAGGTAGTTACCGATATTTACTAGATACAACTCGTAAAATAACTTAAACTACATAACCACGAGTATTACATGAATTATTGAATTCTATTTTTAATATGTATTACATTTCATTTTAATCATGGAAATTGTGTTTTTTTGTTTACAATATTTTGTACTATAATACTTGACGTTTGCCTATATTTGACGTATTTATAATGTCATTTAAGTGTATGACAGAAATGAAGCCGAGTTTTTATATTCGTTATAATCAAATCTATAAATCTTTTTAAGCTTTATAGAACAATTTTATAGTATATAACATCGTTGGTTATATTTCTTATATGATTATATCATAAGCAGGTTTAGAACATTTCTAATAATCAATTAATTTAAAAGCATTTGAAATATTAGGTAATATGTAATTTAAATAATTATTGTTCAAAACAGATATATTTTATATAGCGACTGCAAGTGTTGGCTATTTAAATGACATACGTGGATACAGTAAACACATAATTAAGTGATTTCTTTAACATTATTTATTATTCAATGAAATTTTATAAAATTTACGCACTAAATATTATCTCACTAATGTCTTTTCGTGCGTCTTAAAACTAATATAATCTACTTACATTCACTATACGCTTCCTATTTTATTGAAAGCGATGATCGTTTAGTAAGATTTTATTTTTACCTTAAAGTTCAGAATGAATTGTTAACGATATTATACTAGGTACTTTAAGTGGTTAGTGGATTGAAAGGTACATAAAAGTAAATAAGAATATTTAAGTAATTTTTTTTTTCAGCCGAAAGTGTTGCCATATTTTGCATATAATTGAAAAATATAAAACGAATTATTTTATTACGGTATCAAGCTAGAATAGACTTAAACATCTTAGTGGTGTTTTTATGACAATACAAATGTATTTATTAGGACAGAAGAATGTGAGTTAGGAAGTCGATGTCAAAAACATTAATATAAAGGCGAGTAACTACTGGACGGAATATTATGGTTTGAAGGGCTTTGAAAGATAAGGTACCTATTAGTTTAAAATATATCATTTCTTCTGAACTCTGTGTAAAATATTCATGAAAACTAGAAAAGTCGTTACATCTGCATATTTATTACTAACTATTTTTAAATATATATAGGTATATCACTTATTTATTGCTATAGATACTTCAAATTATTTATTCAAAAATTCCGTTAAATAAATGAATAAATTAATCCAATTAACGATTGACGCGTTCGCGTCTCTGTGGTTGAATGTTGAATATTTTAATACAGAAACATAACAACTTTTCAAGTTACTCCTGTATATTGTTTATATAAATTACTATAAGCCTGTCGCTACAATAGACATTTTAATTGTTTTTCAAATAATATAATTTCACCTTACCATCTAAAACTGGTAACATACCTACTTAATTCTTAACAAAGCTAATTGAACTGTGATCGGTCAAAGCATTCTAAATCTCAAGCAAAAAACTATGTTTTAAATTTAACTGTAATATTCTTATAACAATTTAAAATAACCCTTGCACTTACATTTATATGAAATAAATAGAAATAAATATTCAAGGAATAATAATTATACCATATTAGGGCAATGCAACTTTAATTTCTACATTGGTAGCTGCTTTTTAGTACTTAATCTCGCTGATCAAATATAATTTGAAATATTATGCTGATTTTAAGCTCAGAAAACTACGTTTCTTGTAAAATTTGCTTACAAGATTGCACTCTTAAAGTTTTCGTAAAGTACCGTTTGCTTTATAATTTAGCTATATGTAGATTAATCTTTTAAAGCAACAAGCGCTTAAAGAGCTGCAATTTCATTGATTTATTTAGTAAGTGGGTATATTTGAATAAAATTTAAGTATATAACGTAAATATATGTTTAGAAATGTTAACAAGACATTTATTATAAATGTATAGAAATAGTATATCAAAACGAAAAAAAGAAGTCATAAGAATCCAACAATAACTAGATGAAACAACGGCTGAATATAATTTTAAATATTTATAACAGAATATAGCATTTTTCGTCTTATAAAGCGAATGATATGTTTTTTTTTTTAAATCTTATTATAACAGTAGAACATCGCGAATTAAAATAGTATCACTTTAAATATAACTTTCAAATCTGGGAATGGTTATTTGTACACCATATTTTTTTAAAAAGTAAATATATATATTTAAAATTAACTAAAGTTATTTGTTTGAACTATCAGTTGTAGGTAGTGATAAGTTTCTCTACCACAGATAAGTAAGCGTTTGTGATAATTTTCAAAAATGTTATAGCGTATCTACATATATTCTTAATTTCCAAATAATATCTTTTATATATTATGGCATAAATTCATATATGTTTTCTCGTTAGCCCACTGTTGTTTACATTAATAAATATATCAAAAAATTAAACATCAGATTTTAGATAAATAAACTAATTATAATATACATAATACTATACAATTATGAACGGTATGATGAAGTAGAGCTACCAAATGGTACAATTTATAAGCTTCAAGAAATTAGACAACCACTGAAAGCATATACGAATTTCTTTATGATCGTTTTATTCAAAGCGTTACTGTTGCCATATAGATTCGAGTATCTCTACTTAACCTTACTTGTTCAATACAATATAATTTACAATATTCAAGCACAGCCAAAACGGGTTACTTATTTGGTAATTTTTTTTTATCTATACATATATTAGATAAGGTATATATCAAATACCGATGTCGACTCTTGGTCCACTTTATCGACAAGCAAAGGCAGAGGTGTCCAGACACCACGATGAAAATTAATTGGAATAAAAAGCTTAGGTCCTACCACAGTCTAATTTAAAATGGACAAATACCAAAAGGTACGTTTCACACGAACAATATATAATTTTATAAATGGATGAACTAACTGATGTGTTTAAATAAACTTCATACATTACAGAAAATTTTCTAATAAAATAATTACAACAATTTCATACAATTTCCATTTAAATGACTGATATCTCTTAAAGAACTTAACATATATATTCAAATGTCTTAGTAGTTTGACTATAATAAATAATGTATAACATTTTGAAATAAAATATTATAATCGATAACAATATTAATTTAACTGAAAACATAACAAGTAAACAAATTATTTTTTTATATGTGTACGTCACAATAATATAGTAACATGCCTTCCTTTTCAAACTATATAAAAAAAACTAAGGCACGCATACATTTTCATAATTTACATAAAACATTCATTTTGCGGAAACTATTTTAAAATTAATAATTCAACTTACAATATTTTTATTAAAATTATAATTTAAATGTGTATACCCACTTACAAGTGCCATACAACTTAGTGTAGCTAAATGAGTATGACCAAATTGGCTGTACACAATACTAATTGCTTATAAAATGTATATTGAACAGGCAAATGAATCAAATCCATTCAAAGATGTCATTAGAAGGCATGTTCAAGGCATTTTGGTATTACTACTACATACAGAGAATGATCATTAGGTGTCTAAGATTAACAAAAATACCTATTTGAGCTTCTGTTATCTAAGTCTAAACATTGTTCGTCTAACTTAAATTTCAACTCACAGAGTGATGAGCGTGATACGTAAACCCCTAAAAGCGATTTCTATCATTGGTATCACAACAAATGTGTATGGATTATAATTTAATATTAAATTAATTTAATAAATAAATATATAGATATATATAAAATCTACAACAATCTTAGAATTTATTACATTAGTTTCAATACATTTTGGTTGTTTGTAGGTAATGAAATAGATTTCTTTACTTGACGAACGCCGTCAAATTTAATCACCATCATAGATATATTGACATTGATTCACGATACATCTATATGTGAATTGTTCCCAGTTAACCCTACTATAAGATTTTAATCGACTGGCTCACCCTTCAATACATATCATAATAATCAGGAACCTATTTCAAAACCTCGGAACAGACAAGATTATTGATCGGTTAGCTGTTTAACGAAGGAGTCTTTTCCATACTGTCCTTACAACTACACGTTACTTATATTTTAATGAATTACTTAAATCGAATGGAAATTCATCAAAAATATCATCAGATCTCGTGGTTTTACTTAATATTATATTAAAAAAAAAAATTGCCGTGTAACGAGATGAAAAACACGAAGCCGCTAACTTGAAACGTACATAAGCAGCTCGCGCTATTTATAATTAAGAGAAGGCTTTGTAGTGAATGAAGAAGAAGATTAGAAATACCGCGTACGCGGTCGGGAAAGTGATACGAGCTATGACGTCGATTGTCTTGGCCACTCTGATGGGATGAGGAGGCTCCTTTTTACGGACCTGGACGAAACATGGCTGAAAGAAATTATTTCGCAAAATGAATGATGACAGCGAACAAAAAATACAAAACAGCTAGTACTAACATATAATGTACAACTACACGAATAAAAAAATAATTAATTAATGGACACTAAAACTCTTAAGGTTAGTAATATCAATCAATCTACATACATATATTTATTAATGTATGTAAATACTCGGATTTCAATTGCTGTTTTGGAATTATTCAGGCCATTTCTATGACAGTACAACGTAAAAATTTAAATCTTTTTGGTATCAATTTGTAGAATTTATATTTATTCTTCTCTACAAGACTTATTTTGCAATGATTAATGATTTTCAATTATCGAATTCTACGATTAAATTATTATATTTGGCAAACGAAATTACGTATACCACAACAGTAAAATCCGAATATACAGGGTGACTGGTGAATTACTATCGATATTTGAGGACGTGATAATTGACGGTCATATATGACAAAATAAAAATTAATATAACATAAATATTAATAAACTTCTAAGTAAAGTTAACCAAAAGTTATGTAATTAATTACGCATCGTATGAACACCCTACAGATTAGGTATACACACACACACACACTCGCGCGCGGCGGCGTGTTGTTGTATCAGCACGCCGCCGCGCGCGTCCACACTAGGAACACTTGGAACGTGTACATACTTTATTTATTTATACGGAAATTTGGTCAAAAATTAAGTACCTATTTTTTTTACATAATTCGAATGAGAATCATGTACCGAGTGTGCTCCTTAAATATTGATAGTAATTCACCAGTCACCCTGTATACAGTTACAAAAATCAATACATACATGACTATACACATATATTACTATATAAATGTATTACATGACATAAAAAGCGGTTTTTAACATAAATCTTGCATTAACAGGCTAAAATAATTAAATAAGCATCAGTGCGTTTTATTATTACCTCGGAGACGCCTCCATTGTTTGCTGTATGAGTACAAGCTCCGGGCGCCGTGCAACTTGTACACGTAACTATATCTGCCGCGCCGGTAGATTCACGCTTTTTATCACCCTGCATTTAAATCTCATTCATATTCACTAATATATTTATTAAACTAACTATATTATATTATATATTAAATCTATTAATTCTGAAACAATCTACATACTACTAGAATCGTAATGGCATGGACTGTTAATGAGTTATTGGTTAAGTCTAGTCTACTTACAGGCTGTAGCGATCCGATGTGGCATTAAAGAAAAAATATGCGTTAGATATAGTGATATATCAGATGGTATGTATTGGCGGTATGTTTTGACGTTCGTGACATCACTTACAGCGCCGCTAGTGTCCGGCTCGGGCGTTACGGTTTTAGACCAGTTGAGAAATGCCATCGCCTCCTACGTGGATGAACATATCGTTTACTTACAGCCGAAGCGTTGTGGTATCGGAACGTGTTTTTGCTAAGCAAATTATTACTTGATGGTTACTAAAAGCCCGTAATATCACTTTAATCACGCCCCGGGTACAGTAGGAAGCTTTGCTGTCTTAAATTCGAAGCATTTCTTTCGTATTTCATTTATAAATAATGTTAAGTTTAGTTACAAGAGTTAATGAAATACAATTAAGAGCTACAACACAATGTGTATGATTCTACGAGTAACCAAACGTTTCTCACAGTTACCTACATTTATAATCTACATCATGCGTACCCAAATGAATACGTGCTGTGATTGCAATGGTGACCTAGACCGTTATATTTCTTTTTTTAAAATAGCACGAAATATAACAGTTGTATCAGGACAGTGCCAATGATAATGGCGAATGTTCTTACCAAGGGGCTGGCCAGTATAATGCCAATTCTGCTCAGAACTGCGGGTAGTCGCTGCGAACACATTATACAGACATATTGTTCACTTGTGACGAGATGAACTACTTGAGTGCAGAGTGAACACAGACTATATTGATGTGGCCACACTTAACACAGCACACTTATTATAATATTTATATTATATATATTCTTTGCAATGTTTTCTTTTCATAACAAACGAATGGCCACACAAAAATAGTCTCTGTATTGATGATAATAGGTTGCAAAATTTCGTATCGTGTTTAACATAAATATCATGCAAATTAATTTGTAGGACATGCTGGAAATATTAAGAATCGAAAGTCAAAACGTGCTACGCATGTACCAAAAGAAAACATTGCAAAGAGGAAGAAGAGGAAATGTTAGATAATTAGTTACCATTTAAATAGGATAGTATGTTATTATTTAAAGCATAAACACAATTTGGATATATTTAGACATATTTTATATCTTTTATATACAATTAATTTCTTTATAAACTCACGAAATGATAAACTCCACATTTTTATTGTTTAAAATTATTTATCTCGTAATGTACTTTAGTTAAAGTGTATTCATTTTGTATTACTAAAAATGGATCAATTATTCTGGTTATAATATTCGCATTTTGTTCTATATAAGCTGGATGTATTCAAACTGTACGAGACGATACATTAAATCGAACATTTAGTAGTAACATATAATGTGCATACAACAATGACACTCTTTAATAACCAACTCACCTGTGTCACCGGGTTTTCTCCCGGTCGGTACACGACGTTATGCAAGGGCCGTTTCCTGCCGACGTAATTCACGCAAACGAATTCGAGAAGCGATGCGTATATGAAGCACATACAGACGCCGTCCCACACGTTCATTGCTGTCAGATTCGATACAACCGGCAATGTTGACCGAAAACCGTTTGATGTTGTGAAGAAATTCAACATTGTTGTTACACCTACGCCAAGATTTAGAATGAGATGGTAGTATTGATATGTATATGAACATCCCGATATACTGATTAGTATGGGTCCCTCCACTAATATCTAGGTTAAGCACGTAAATTGCTTTAAGCACTTGCTTTCTATTTAGAAGTTTTAGGGGTATTTGGTACCCGTATATTTGAGTTTTATCCTAAATATGGAATCGCAAAATATTTGACATAAACAAGCAAGCACAATGACAGTATATATCGGATGTTCATATAGTATTTTCTTATAATTCCTGCATACAATTAAAAGTAAAGGTGCTTTATTTGAAGGCTCTGTGATATATTGTAATTGTTCTATCGTAAGTTGTATTGAACAAAATTTTGAAGCACGATCTTTCTAACATGCAAAATAAGGAAAATATTTGTCTATCAAATTTTCCTCTATAGCCAATATCTTTTTTTATTTACTTACAGCCGGAGATTCGGCCATCAAGAATCATCCTATAAGAAGTCTACTAAGTTAATTATAAAAATAATAAAATGCTGCCATTTTAATGTAAATTAAAGTAAACAATAAAACTAACCGATCATGACTCTAGCAGGCACAGCATTCCATTCCAGCCAAAAAGTAATAAATGATGAGGTCACCAAAATGATTCCCGGAATAAAAACAGTGGTGAAGTAAAATGATCTATCCCGCGTGAAGATGAGATCCACTTTGAGGCAGCTGTAATTACCTAAAAATATGAAGCATATCTAATAATAAAATATGATAAAAAAAAAGCTTCACGACGAGCCGTCGGCGGTACAGTAAGATCTATTGCCGACGGGAAAGCGAAAGTATCCTGCCAATGTTAGCGTGTTATGAACAGCCCCAGCCACATCTACGAAGAGAGAAGATGAAAGGATGCAAGACCGAGAACATTCCATTCGCCAGCCAATTTTACCTATCATGGAACGAGCCGGAACTGCGTTCCATTCCAGCCAAAATGTGATGAATGAAGAGGTCACCAGGATTATGCCAGGAATAAAAACTGTGGTAAAGTAGAATGCTCGGTCTCTCGTAAAAATAAGGTCCACCTTTAGACAGCTGTAGTTACCTGCGAAGTTAATATTATACGTAACGGTTGAACGTCATACAACCTCTCGTCCCAATATATCGCGTGGAGCGTTGTATTCGGTTACACAATCGGATATTTAGTTACGGTAATATTTGGATATATTCCAAATAACTCTATTCAGTGGCCTTGTTAATTATATACAATTATAATAACCAAAATCAAATACTAATCGTCTACTATCACATATGTAGGAGTAATGCGTGTTGTGTACCAAGTGTACGAGAGCGGTGTCACAACTTTCCAACAGCATACCAATTCTATCACGTGCATTAACCATTTACGTGCAAATGTAACACAAATAAAAAGTAATGATGATTGTGATAGATGATGTAGGTATTACGGTCCGTCAGCGAGTATCACACAACAACGCCATTACTCACACATAAGCGTATACTGTATAAATACGACACCGGACATGTGTTTCATCCAGTTCAAGTTGTACCTTGCTCCTCAAAGCGTCTCTGGCAAAGATTACATGTCAGCTCTTCATCGTCCTCGTAAAGTGAAATACCATCAGCTGCTTGCAAAGACGTTAATAAATTCTTACATTCTACATTTTAACTTAAATAATTTATCAAAAATTATTTAACACACAGAAGCTGAATACCGTTTCACTAATGCGTAACGTGTAAAACCAACAAAAATGATCATGCCATACTACGGCTAGCTACTCACGAATTTTACTTATATACGTATAATATAATAATTAATACATATTTCCAAATCTATCCGAATTCAAACACATATTCTAAATTTAACGACTACAGCATAAAACTTAAAATTATAGTATCGGTAAACCAAGACCAAGCTGAAAAGAGTTAATCAGAATTTTTTTTGTAAGAATAGGGCTGTGCTTGTAACAAAACAATGTATGTCGGGAAGTCTAGACTACATAAATTGGCTTCGACCGATATGCAGGAATATAAATATACAGGGAGTCCCGAAAAAAGGTATGGGTAACAATATTATCATATAACTTTTGTTACAATCTTAATCCAATTATAAACCCCATCTTCAAACGATTAAACTATATACTAGTGCTTACATACTTTTGTCTTCCTCGGTCAGCTTTATAATTTTTGACATGTTATGCTAAAAAGAATCATCTTAGAACTTAGTTTATAAATAAATTAATTAGTGCCAATTAGTTGTTATCATATAACATGAAGATCAAAAAAAATATTAATAAAGAAAACCATCAACCAAGTTTTCAGAAACACCCTGTATACAATGTTATAAAGCGAGCAAATCGATATATATTTTACCTCGCCAACTGGCTTTTATGGGGCAGGGTATGGTCTGATTCTGTATGAGGTAAGCGTTGAGGGTCGTCAAAGAGGGTGACTTCCGCAGCGTATCTTCATCATTCTTCCACACGTAAGTTATCGCAGATTGCTCATAGGATACTGAAATATATTATTCAATTTCATAGAAAACATCCTATATAATGAAACACAAAACATATTAAAATATTCTGACTTACAACTCTTTGCAGATAACTTATGATTTTACCTACGGATTATGGTTTACTTATATAAAACTTCTATATTCAATACTGGTTGCGTAAGTCTAGATTCTAATACTATATGACATACAATACATATGCATTTAACATTTAATCTACAAATAAAATCACTACAAAAGTTTTTAAGTATTAGATAATTTATTTTAATAGTAATGGCAATGTAAGAAAGTATGATACTATATTACTCACTACTCTCTAAGGCAAATGAACACAATGGGTCGTCGAAGGGGAAGATGTTCAGCCGTCCCTGACAAGACAGTATGAGGTGACGTCTCATCAGATAGTTGATTGTCCCGTTGCGATAGATCCGCAACGCAAAGTGCATCGGTATTATCGGATCCTGAAATATCATAACCGCTATCAAACTAATTTGTAGGCGACACTACGTATTGATTAGCATACACCCAAATAAAAGAAAAATAAAAAATCTAATCTACTAACAAATTAAACATAAAGGGGCTGACTTTAATGGGCCGTGTTTTATATTTTTTGATGTTATAATAGCAATTTTTTTTCGTATAAAGACAGAGAACCTTTGTGCAATACTGTTGCTGCTCGAGCGAAGCCAGGTCAGGTCGCTAGTCAATCAAAATATATCTATTAGATGTTGTTGCACATTTAATATTATTCCTTTATTCTAATTTATCAATCTACAAGTACCAGCGATTACCAATAAGTACTAGTTAATAATATATAAACTAATCTGCCTACATTCCAGCTATACTTAATAATTAGCGGACAAAATAATATAAGCAAAACATAATAAATATTTTAGTATTTTTTCATACAAAGCTATTATTAGATATAATTACATATATACCAAGTTTTAATTCGAATTAAACTCACTTTGAAGTCACCGTGCATAATGAAGTACGTGTCGGGTAGCCAAATATCTTCGTGATGGTGAATGGCATTCAAATAGTCGTAATGGGACTGATTCGAATACCGGAGACGTGGGTCATACCATTGTTGCTGCAGGAGGAATTCAACCTCGTATTTCTGAAAAACATCAAATACTTAAGAAATAATAATAATCACAGAACCATATAGACGTCGTTAAAGAAGATTAAAAAAGGTAGGAATAAAAGAAAACAACTTACAAGACTAGATTCATCTGGAGACGCTAAACTAAGAAGTAGCACGCTAACATTTACGGTGAGGACACCTGGAAACCGACGATGATAATGATGTACTTATATTATTATGTAAATGTATTGAAATAAACATTTCCTTTTGAAAAGAATTGAGAATGAAGCAAAAGAACGATAGAGAATTTGAGATGTAGCAGAGAAAGAACCTACATAAGCAGACACATCTTCAAAACAACATGCTAGGAGTCTAAAGAAAACATTAAAGTGCACAAGAAACACAAATTTTCGTGTTTTTCTTAAATTCTTTTCTACAGAAGAACCAAGATGTTCTTCGTCGTATAGATATAAAAAATTACATATATATGTTTTGATCTGTGGGCGTATATACACTTTATTAACAATACAATTTATTAATTAACTGCTATCAAAATACGTCCTTCCAATAAATTATCATAAAAGGTTCAGAGAATTAAATGTAAGCGTTGTTGTTTAAACCTCAATATGTATAAATATTTAAAACATATTATTGAAGGGAAATCATTTTTAAATTTCTATAGTATACCTTTTTCTTTAAATGTACATCTTTGTTTACTAGAAATTTACAAGTTACTTTGATGTTTGTTGAGTAAGCACATAATTTTATCATGTATAGAATTACAATTTATTTTAAAACGCAGTGTTTTTTTTTTAAATTGGGATCTTCAAGTTTTCTTAAAAAGGCTCTGTTTGCAGAAATAAGAATTTATAAATTTGACTATTGTGTTCTATGTTTGTGAAAAGAGAAAAAAATACGTTTCGGAAATTAATTTTTATTAATATTACTTTACAATGTGATTAAGTGATCAGCAAAATGACCTACACATGTTATTTTTTACTATTAAATATAATTTACAGGTTTATCTATGTATAAATTTATTGTCTGGTGCGTGCTAAACTAAAACGCAACAGGAATAAACGAACAAAATACGAACAGGTTGCATGTGTACATTGTGATTCATAAGCAAAACTATCCATTCATAAATAAAATATATATCGAAATTGGACCATAAAAATTTATACCTTAAAAGTATGAAAATTGGTCAAATAGATATCGACCAATATCAATCAAGGTTTAAATTTTTATGAAAAAAAATAATCAGTGCACAGATTATCGCAGTGATACACAGATAACATAAAACTGAATGAACAAGTTACATCTTTTAGGATTTCTCTTTTCAAAAACATGTAACACAACGAACCGCGATTGGGCGATCGAGGCCGAAGCGAGGGTAGCCCAATATTATCTTTATTCAAAGTGTCGTTGGGTGACGTAAGACCACAACAAAAATCAGGATCTGCAATTTAATATAGCCTTGTAGCTAACTCTCAAGGTCTATACTAATTTATCTCTTACTTTATAATATTCTAAACACTTCTAACATTTATATACATGAATGTTATTTACCATCTACTGGTGGAAGCAGTCTTTTGTCGTAGCGGGAATTTTTTAACAGATTGTCCAAAATCTCTTTGTCCGACTTGCCCGCCGCAAAGCTGAAACAAAACAAATCATTGTGAAACAAAGTATAAAATTAAATTAAAAATCTTAGTCGCTTTGTCCTATATTAAGTTTATTTTCCTGCAGTGGATTTTCATTTTAGAATTAACAATATCTTTAAAGTTCTGTACATTATAAGAGGCAGTCTGAATTGGTACAACTGGAGCAAAATTAACAGCTGTAATGTTTGAAACTTAACAAAGTTTGTGGAGACAAATTTGATTTGTCAATGAAGTTAGAACGGTATTGGGTGTATATATGATTTTGGTAACGAAAGTAGGTTACGGGATATCCGATACTTGATTTGCAAACATCTAACTTAACAGTTAAGATCAAAGATGGAGAGAAATTATATTTCTGAAGTCTGATGCTATTATAAACACAAGTTTACTACAAAGTAAGCTATGCTTCGGAAAGCAGAATTAATTTTCTGTGTCGTAAAATTAATAGTAATTTAAGTTTAAATAAACTGCTCTTTTTTTGTAACAGACCATATAATACATATGATAAATTTGTTCTAACATTTATCATAAACTAGTTTACATCTGTGAACAATATTTTTGTTTCAAGTGTCTATAAACGACCGGTCCTCACGCTTGGCTACTCTTCACTTCTGCACCACTGACCACCGTGTACCCTTTACTCGTTTAAGGTCTGTCCTGCATCAACCGCCGTTGGAATAAATACATTGAGATGAGCTCGGTTTTATTTTTATATATTGTTTTGATTATAAATTGTTACTACGTTTGTTATTCTTGCTTTTTTCTTCATGTTAAGATTGTAGTTGTAAAATGCTTTTCTCGTGAGCTTATTTATTCGGATTTATATAGAAAAGAAAGTTTATTTCCTATAAAATTATATCATGTGTGTCCTATAATGCAAGAAGTAACGGGTGTTTAAATGAAGTAATGTAGGTCAGTTACGAATAGAACAAAGCATTATTTTAGTAAAACCTATTGACAATACATATGTAGTTAAACAAACTACAATTATTGTTTAAAAAAATTAATGTTTTTTTTTGGTTCGATGTTACTTAATATAGGGGAGAGTCGGATATATCGTACCACTTTTCACTTTAACTCAAATATTTCGAGTATAACACGTCTTATAATAATTAATACATATGTAAAATAAAGTTTCATATTTTAGCTTCCTAAGAAGAAGAGAACAGATCCTTGCGATTATTCTAACATTGTTAAAAATGCTTTTTTCTAGAGGCTTGCCGTCGGTACGATTTAGCCGACTAGTCGTTTTAATCGTACCACTAAGTCTTTAAATCGTACCATGGGTGTTTAAGTCGTACCACTGAATGAAAGACATTAAAATTCTCAATCAAATTATTTATTTTTAACTCTTAGGTAAGTAATAAAACAACATTATTTATATCTTTTAGGTAATAGAAACATAATTTTTAACTCTTAGGTTATATAAAGGAACTATAAGCTTTCTTAGTAAAATAACATGATTATACTATGATAATGTGATCAATCAACATAACTAATAAAAATGAGACAAAAAAAAACAGTAAACTATAATAATAAAGTAACAGTTAACAAGAATGTTATTTGTAATATAATTATTGTGCATATTTCTTAATGGAAACAATCATGACAAATGTCTGGAGTCGAAGTACACGTCTCATGTAGCCACCGTTTACAGCGAACGCATTGAATCCAATCAACTTTTGGACCCTTGTTATCGTAGTAAGAACAATTGCACTTTCGACATATATTTTCAAGATAATCATCGCTGTCATCATCATCATCTAGTTCTACAACAAGTGTCTCTCCTGAATCATCGCTACTGGTGATGGAATGAGATCGTTTCCTCTTATAACTTTTGTTTTTGGCCTTGGGTAGTACTTACTATAGGTACCTGTGGTAGTACTATGGGTACTTGTGGTGGGTAGTCGGGTCAATCGTACCAGTACAATTTAACCAACTGCAAGTGGTACGATTAAATCAACTAAGGCATTTCGAAAACAAAAGCAAATATCCGGCATAAACTCAAAACTTAGACACGCAACAAAAACCCCCAATAATCTAGTATACAATTGTGGAATAATAAAAAAAACTGAATAACTATAGCTTACCTTGATTACGAGTTATCTTCTTACGAATGTACAACAATATTTATATTAAGACCTACAAAAAATGTTTTTCTTTTATTACGTGCACAGTTGTTAACTCACGTCGATTTAAACTAGTAGGTGAAGAGGGATGGTACAGAGCCACGATTTGGTGTTGTCAATGTAGAAAAAAATATTCATTAAATGGGAAATTTAGAAGTGGTACGATTTAAATGCTAGTACGATATAACCAACTCTCCCCTAATACGTATTTTCTTTATATTGATGTGAAGAATATGACATTTAGAAAGAAAATTATAATTTTATGTTATATTAAAGCCTTAACGTTTCGACTTATTGAATTCACTAGTTTCAAGATTATTGGTTTTTATTATGTTGTTAAAAAAAATAACTAAGGAACACAATACGCTGACAAATTTCTGTTATTGCATCAAACTTGTAGTAATTGTGTGTATAAAGAAGATATTGTAAGCAAATACATCAGCCTTTTTGTGTTTTAAGGTTTTGTTATCTTGGATTTTGACCACAAAATAACGCCACGATTTTGGAAAATTTAATTATTTTCGAAGTAGGTCCACTGCAAACCACTTTGGGTTAGTATCAGATACTTCATATAAATTGGAACAGAAAAAGCTAGCTAAAATTTTGACGGCATGAATTTAATTATCTCTTATTTTACTTAACCTGCTTACCAATAATTACAAAAATGAGTTTATTTAAATCATACTACTATAAAATGTAATGAAAATCAGGTGTTAAAATATTAACAACTGCTGTGGGTTTTTGCTGCTTCGTAGTCAAGCTAGAATCTTTAGATCACAAAAGGTTGCTAGATTGGAGGATTGGATTGCTATTGAATTTTCTCCGACTACTGATTATTATGTACTTTGCTTTTATAATAATAATATACAAATAACCATGAAATAACCATGATGCATAGATTATAATTAAATAATAAGAAAAATATGTTTTGTTATGTCCACCATTCATTTATATATCTGCAATTTATTAAATATTCCGGATTGTCACATAATTTCTTATTAAGAACACTGTATACCTACATATAATAAAAAATCTTTATTTTGTAAATTTTTGGTTCTTCGATAAATGAATCTTTGAATACGTCACAATTGAATTCTTGAAAAGCAAGCATTTACCTTATGAAACTTAATTAAATTTTAATCAAAAGTTCGCTTTAATTAAGTTCTAACAATAGCTAGTCGATTGAGCACAATAATGCGCAACAGAACATAAGCTTTAAGTAAATTTATGCTTTGAATTTTTATTTATCTTATCGAAAATTTATCGGTGGTGGAACAACATACTACTACTAACATTTTAATAAAAAAAAATGTTAGTAGTGTTTAAAAAAATTGCCTTAATTTAGAAGATTTAAATCATATACCATAAATATTTTAATCTTTTAACTAAAAAATTAATAAAATATGTATTTTAAAACGGCTCTGGTCGTAAAATTGTAAGGGTAGATGTTTTTAAGCACTGTGGTGAAACAACTACTTCTGAAATGTTGTAAATAGAAGAACCTCAAATTCATAAGTGTTTTTACTGCAATTTGGAGCTCGTTTTAAGCATTTTTTAATAATACTCACATGTCGGAGGTGAGCGCGGACACTCGGCTGAGCATAAAGAGGAAAGCCACGGCGCGTGCCACAACGCATGACCAACCCATATTAGGACATCTGAAATATTGTAATATATGTAAATTATCCTGAATTTACCTTATTATCCTTGTTTTTTATATGGATATTTATAGCTAACCCAATTCTTTATGCCCTACATTTAATGCTATTATGATGATAGGGCGCTTTTATTACAAGTTATCATAAAAAAATAACCACATTAAACTTGCATGTCAAGGATTTGTCTCTGAACAGAATAATTGCTTTGTAGCTTTTAGTGAACCTCACATCATCGGTGTCCATGCATATTTCATTATTACCTCCACATTAACACCATTTAGCAGTATTGATCAATGTAATCTATAATTTGTGAAACTAAGCCACTCGTAAGTCATGCAAGCCGCATTTACTACCGTGGTGCGAGGTCGAACATATTTTTTCCATCTAGAATTCAATACATGACCTACATATGCTATGACGTCAATACGATACTGATAAATATGTAATTACGAGTTTATAAAATAGTCCATGTATGTATGTATATAGCGTCGGTATATATATTCTTACGACACGTTAAGGTAGAATGCTTTTAGTCATTCCGCATATCCACATTATGCTGATGTTTTTGAACCTCTCGGGATGTCTCAAACAGATGCCTGCTACATTTACATTATTTACAATCCAATTATCTTATGTTGTACATACAATTTGTATTGCTTCCAAAAAATATATACGGATTTATATGAAAGTATTATGATAAATAGTTTTAGCCCAGTTCTTAGTAAATATTAAACAATATAATATACCACTACAATAGTATAAATTTACTTATTGAGACAAAACATTATATTTGACTAGACACATTTGTTTTTGTTTAAGTTGATTATTGTGTATGTATTATAAATTTGACATTCCTTTTATATAAATCATATATTAAAAAAAAAGAAAAAATATTATTACATTGATATGAAAACGTATATGCCCCGTCGGGAAAAGTAAATCTTGAAATCGTGATACTAATATTGGCACACTTTGGCTATAACTTCTGATTTTGTTGAACTAACTAATAATAACCAATATATGTGGTATATTTAATTACAAAAGTAAATTTATAGTAGTGATAATATTATTATTAACGAATTAATGAGCGACAGCTATTCAATGGATTGTAGCCGCAAAATTTAAATTAAAATTCTATATACCGGTAGCATAAAATTCCGTAAAATTAACAGAATTCATCAAACCGTGTTATTGGTTGTTTTAAAACAACTGAATATTTCCGTCACCATAAAGTAATAATTATTATAATTAACGAATAATTCTGTAGGTGTTAGTATTTTTAATATCGATAATGTTAATTTAACATTACTTTTTAGCATAATTGTTTAAGTCAAACGTCCATAATATTTTCATTACGAGTCTACACGATGTAAAGTGTAAGTTACTCTGTAGTACAATTGCTCGACAAAATAGCATGCATATGCATCGAAAGGTATATTGCTTATGTAATTATTATACAACAAACCTTTCTGTTGACTGCGGAGTGTTGGCATGCGGAGACGTTCACCCCGTCCGCGATGACTCAGCTCTCCGCCACATCATTAGATAAATGTATCTGAAAAAAAAAAGATAAATTAAAACATTTTTCATCCATCTATCGCGTGTCGCATTACAGCTGGCCGCGAAGCAGGCATAACATTAAAAGCGTTCCAACCAAGGTTGATATGTAGGCCAGTGGACCCTATCAACTGACCGTGTATAATTTATATTTTCACTCGTTCGTGCAAGTGCTCCACCGAATTTGTATTTTTGGCTATTAATTTAAATAAATATTATGCTCTTATTCTGACATCTGTCTATGACGTTTATTTTATCATCCGTCTCGAATTATGTCGGTAGATTGAATTTTATATTTTTGGAAGAAATATTTGTGTAATGATACTTTTCAAGCATCATTTCTATACTCAAATTTTGAAGTTAATTTGAAAAAAAGGAGTATATTTTTGTAAATTTTTATTTAAAAACCAAAAAATATAACAAAATGTAATTTTTTTATCGGAGTAAATATTTTCTTAGAAAGGGGCTGTAACAGGTTTCAATAATTAAAAGTGCTTAAAGTCACAAAGATGAAAAGTAAACATTACGTAAGAAATTATTAATAAATAGAGAAGATTTTGCTTTTGAAATGTTTATAAGACTTCCCAATAGCACAGCCAAACCCGATTTGGCCGAGTTTATTTTAAAATGAAATGTCAAGTTTTATATTCAACTTTTTCCAATTATGCCACGTTTCTGTGGAAAAGCGGAATTTTTATTTTTATTGACACAGCCTCCATTACTTCGACAACACTGGTTAAAGATTTTTTTGACTTTTGCCTAAAGAATAAAAAATTGAAATCGTAATTAATAAACTTGGATTATATTTCTTACAAAATTTAACTTTTTTTATGCTTAAAATCTAATACTCAAAAAGAAATGTCATTCATGTTGTTCTTTTGAAATTTAAAGATGGTTTTGTTATCATTATTGATGACAAAATAATGTATTTTTTTTATATATTTTAGAGAGGAGACGAAACTTCTCGACATTTCATGAATTCACTATGTAGGTGCCGGGTCCATCACGTTGGAGGGAGAGGAGCTTCAACAGTGACTGGGACTTGCGACCCAGGTGTAGGTTTAAGGGGCTCTTATCTAACGCACGTTAAACGCTCACCTCCACTGTCAAAACTTCTCTCGCTACCTAACCAAATTTGAAAAGAACCTACTAGGGCTGCCTTCGAAGTACGTTCCAAGAATGAACTGATATAAGTTCTGGATAGGCCAAGTCTTTTAGTATGTTGTAGAGAGTTTTCGCTGTCATACTTCTCGCTCCCACTTTTACCACGTACAAATTTACAACAAACCTGTTTCTAGTAAGTTTGTTAGTGAGATAGTATTTGCCTACTTATTTGACTTTGATGGCATGGTTTTAGAAAATGTTGGTTAATAAAGGATGGTAAGCTACGCACGGTGGAGCAAGCGTGTCCTTGAGTGGAGACCGCGTCTCAGCAAACGTAGAGAAGGACGCCCCCCAGCTAGGTGGACCGATGACCTTAAAAAGGACGCTGGGTCTCACTGGATGGGGAAGGCAGAGGACCGAGTGTTATGGCGCGTGTTGGGAGAGGCCTATGTCCAGCAGTGGACTGCAATAGGCTAAATGATGATGATGATGATGATGAAGCTCTGTTACTACAACACGCTTTAAAATGCGCGAATAGAGAAATATGTCTGGTCTGGACGTTGATGTACAAATATCTTCTGGGATTTTATATTGTTTCTCACACGTATTCATCATTATAGTTCAGTCCGAAGCCGCTTTATGGATTGAGTAAGGCTCGACGTTTGATTTTATAGCCCTTGTGCCTTCTCTTACAAATAACAAAACCTAGCGGCAGCTCGTTTGTCACTATTTCTTTTTGCGCTCTGGCTACTGAAAGACAAATCGCTTCACGTATGAGTTCTAGAACCCAAAAATTACATATGTAGCTTTAGCTAATTGACGTAATATATATAAATTGTTTTTACCATAAAATGTTTTGTGACATTTAAATAATACTAAGTAATTATATCCAAAATATTGTGTAGTAAAGCGGATAACGCTTTGCTTCTAAACCGATTACAGGCTAATCCTCATTGTATATTAAGCTATATGAGGCAGTGTTTAATGAATTCCTACATGAAATTGCTTTCTACACAATAGCGTTAGAATAGAAAAGCTTCATATTCGTCAATGGCACTTTATAACTGCATTCTCATATAAAACAGACAATCAAATGGAATGAATTCATTATTGTTTTTCTGATGATCCGGAAAATAGAGGCTCGAAGATGTTCTGAACAGCTGCCAACTTCGTGGAGGGCTGGTTATGAAATTGAAAACTGTGCCAACCAGTCGCACTTGAACAGAAGAGTTTCTTTATTGTGGAGTTGAAGTTAGTTCTGAAGTGACATTCATTAAAATTTTAACACACCCGACCCGTTTATTTGTTGGAGTGTTGTTTGTATAAATTCTTAAGTATGTGGACCCAACAAATAGTGGACGAATTTGAATATATAACATGTCCTGTCTGTATTACGTAAGCTTAGACCGTTTAATTCATTAATAATTTATTATTTAAATAAGCCACTATCAACCATTAGATGATTAAACTTATAGAAAAAATAATTTAGGTATAAAAAGTTTTGTATTTATAAAAATTAAATAAAATTCTTTTTATAGAATTGAAGCATCTAAAGAAAAAAATTATGTTCATTATGAAATGCTGTTCGTTTGAAACTCGGAACTTTTTCATTTCATTACACATCTGGGAACAAATGTATCATGGTTTAAAAATAGTGATGTTTTAAACAAAGTTAATTATTTATACTAGATATATTTTATGAAGATATTTTTTTCTTTTACCGAGTCTTACTGAGTGACTAGTGGTTCTATTTTTCTAGATTATAGTAGATTCGAATAATTATTCTGAATAATTGTCTGAATTGTATGCAATGTATTCGAATGGGAGCTTCACGGAATGATAGTAAATTGTAGTGTAAAACAAAGTATGCGTGGTATTTCTGGAATGTTCCGTCGTAATATCTATATAGAAGTACACATAAGGAATAAAATAAGAAGAATATGTAGATGATATGAATAAATATTGCCTAGAATTAACATTAATAAAAGATTATGTCACTACAGAAATGTATCATAGTTTCAAATCATCACTAACTTTACCTATAAAGTTTAATAAACAAATGAAATACAATCGAGGACGTGAAATTGGGACATGAATGGATTGAAAACCGTCCTTCATTCACACGCATTACTGTTGCCAGTTAGGATTTATCGTTTTGGACATTTCGTTAACAAGTTCCCATGACCTTTAAGAGCTATATAATTATAAGTTTTATATTCGACGCCCTTGTACTAAAAGAACTTAGTGACATTTTTATTAACATTTCCATCCTTTCGAATAACATAGGAATAAACGTATTATAAAGAAACAAAACATTTAATTGATTTAT